ACGTAGTTTCTAAGCATTGATTTAAAGCTGTAAATCTATTAAAAAAGCTTTAGATAACTGCATGTTATCTGCATAACAGTAACCATAGAGATATGAAGACACTGATACAAAACAAAAACAGAAAGAGAAGAGTCCCCATGAGGAGCTCACATTTTGCTGCTTTATATACGTACAAACGTTTTTTTGAGTGACTCACTGGAAATGAGTGGAAAATGATACTGTGCATGTTGACGTACTCTGTGTAAATGAAGACTCTGCTTTTACAGTTGTGAATGTTTTTATGGCAACACAATCCAAAAGATGAATGTATATGTTCATCTATCAAAGCAATTTTCCATATATATATTAGATATATTTTGGTGTAGTATTGTAAGGTCTTTTAGAGTTGTTATGGTATTGATATGGTAGGATTATTCCCAATTTCAGTCAGCCAATGGTTTAAAAGTCCAGCTTTATTACTTTCACAATCACATTTCTAGCCGCAGAGCACCTAACACACACACACACACACACACACACACACACACACACTGTCTCTCGCAGTCAAGCCTGGTGACAGACACACATCCTGCCACATGGGAATCTTTTTTCCAGGAAGTCATCTGACAGGATGACAGACCTTGGTCTGAAACAGAATCAGTTGTGACTGCAAAACAAAAACAAGCTACAGGGTCCATGCTAATGTTTATATTATCATCTTTCTTTGGACAATCATGAAAGCCCACTCTAAATTCCTGTACATTAAAAACCAAATGCAAGGTAATCCCATTGTTTGTGTGCAGTAATATTGTGTGTGCTCTTGTGTTTTCTTTTGGCACCAATATCAATTCATGAATCTTTAAAATGGGATAAGTTATGTATATCCTCTTGCAGTCTAATTCTACAGGTCGGTACAGGGCATCAGTCAGCCATCTGTCTGAATTGGAACTGCTGACTGGATTGTGAATAAGAGCTCTTTCACTCTAATCTATCCACTTCCTCACTGCTCTATGAAAATGATTAGACGCCCAAGCTCCTGGATGCTGGTGCCTGGCCTACAACACACCATAATCTCCACCACAGACTTAATGAGCTTAATGTGCACTCCCAGGCCACTGAGCTTAAAGGCATGCACTGTAATGTAGTACAGTTCAGTTTGTCCCTGTCTGTGTCTATCCTGCTCCCAATTCAGACAACAGCAGTGAGATGGATAGAGAATCTGTGTTAAGGTGCTCCTGCTATTGACATGAGTCATGATAAAAACACCTTGTTTGAGTAACTCTACTCGTATTCTTTGTTAGAAAGGAGCCGCGTGTGCCCACATATGCTATGGTTTATTCATTATCATTAAACTCACATTACATGTTCAGAACCATCTGGTGCTAAAGTGTGACAACAAACAGTGAAGGCTATCAGTTATAAACAAGCCATATGCTGTTAGTCAGTCTTAATTCCCCAGAGGAAAGTAAATGCAAACCAGACCCTTACAGCAGTGCCAACAGTTCCAGGAATATAGGACAGTTTTCTGAGCTTGATTGGGGATAAACTGTGATTTAGTTCTCAAACCCAATACCCACTCAGTCTCTGACTCTGAACGCACTCCCTCCCTTGCAGAAGTAACGTCTGAACAAAACAGTCGTTGCAAAGTAAAAAAGCACGTATCCCTGCTTGAAATTGCTTACTGGATTTATTTTTAAAAAACAACCAAAAGAACATTTTAAAAACTTGCAAAAACATTATCAGATCAGAGAATAAGTGTCTGGCTATCTTCTCTATCACACAATTAGTTAGCAAAGAGTAATGAATGGTGAATTATATCATTGATTTTTTAAAGGATGCAACTGAATTTAAGTTAAAGAAACAATGAAGAATGTGGTGAAACACGGAGTCTAAAACCTTCACAATTCAATGAGTATAACTGAGACTGATGCTTCGTTCACATGTCTTTTCAGGCCTGACTGACATGTATTTCTTTGCATCAGATCACATGGGAAAGTCTGGTTGTCACCTCTGAGTCAGCAGGGGAGGGGGGGCAGAGTCAAAATGGATCGCCCCGTGTGCTGACATACAACAAATTATACTTAATTCCTAATTGTTACTAAGCCAATTTTGCCACACTAACTCAATATGTGTAAAAACACAGAGCGGGTTAGGGTTGGCTCATGTGCTTCTGTTTGCTGTGTGCGAATTATTAAGACAAACAGCGGTGGATTGACAGACAACACTTCACCCATTAGGTAAAACTGTGAATGTGAAAATGGCGTGAAATAATCATTAGCTCAAGGATAAAACAACAAGAACACAATATTAGCAATTACAGGTCTTTATTCCTACAACATTTGATGACTTAAGTATTGATTCAGTCAGCGCAGAAACAATAGGCTGAATATTTTTTCTCATTAAAGTCCAACCAGCCATGATCTCTTTTCAATTAGCTGAAGTGCAGCAATAAAAAGGAACAAGCCGTACTTCTTACGAAAGCATAACCCTGGAGACCGGGATACCGTTCACCCGACAGTGTTCAGATAATACATTTAATTTCCAGTACCATTCAGAATGTGTCATCTTGGTGGTAGAACACAACCTGCTCATTTAGATGTATTGCAGCCGCCCACTCTACAAGAGAAAATTCCCTGAATCCCATCTTCAACTTTATGTTTGGGTGTATTCATTCACCATAAGACATAATAGAAAATCATTTCTACACAGTGGCAGCAAACAATTCAATTTTCTCTATACCTCGGTTTTGTGGCCCAGTATCCTAATTTTTATTTTTAACAAGTCTTGGTTCATATTTTGACATCAAGCCAAAGAAATAACAGTAGGTTTGCAAATAAGAAAAGTCTTTACTTTATTCTGTGTTTTAGACAAAAATACATTAACGGAAGCCAGGATGCCAGCTGACATCTAGATGAAAGGCCCTAATGCACAGAAAATCTAAAGTGGTGAGGACATGTTTCGGTTTTATCATGGAAATGGAGGGGTGAGAACAACTAAACTGTACCGTTGCAAATAATCGCACGTATTACAGTGTGGTGAAGCACACACATGAAGCTGGCTTTGAATATTTTTCCCTTAAACAGTGGAAAACCTTTTCAATCCATCGTCGTCATTGTCAAAAGACACAAAGCCAAAATCAGCCAAACCAGGAAAATCTGTTGATAGTTGTATTAACTTTGGCTCTGATGCTGGCAGGACAATATACCATCTGTTACAGTAACAGGCAAACAATGTCCTGGAGCCAACCCTTCCATCTACAAACACTCAACCACATGAAAAATTGGGAAATGCCAAAACGTTCCTCCTCAAAGAGCAATTTCAGCAGTGGTCCTGGGCAAAATAAATGTGAATGAAAATGTTAAGAAGAAATGTGTCACCAAAAGTTACACAGGTGGTTTAACAGCCATGTTATGATGCACAGATTTTAGATTTGGTGTGACAAGAGGGTTAGCACTTGAGAAGTTAACTGAAAACACACTTTACACTTCACTTATCTCCTGTTAAGGCCATTTTGGAGACTCGGGCTACAAAAAAGGTTGTGTCTTTTTTAGAATGAAGGAATTTCTGATTTCTCATTTTTGTGTTGCACCTCAAAAAGTCTTTCTGTACTGTGTTTCACTTAATGACTGACCTCTGCTAATCCATTACTTGCACAGAAAGCAGAGTTTAATTAGATATCTTCTTACCTTTTTTAAACACTGTTGCCTTTCACTGTTTCCCTGAGGGGCATTGTGGCAGTATGGCTTCTTCCTCAAACGTGTTGAGCAGGAAATTAAGGCATGGATCTGTACACGGTGAGGCAATAATTAATACCTGATGTTAGTACACTGCGTTTGTCACTCTTTTCCGTTGCTGAGGTTTTATCGATTTAATCAAGCTTTTTATAGGTTTGAATTTACAACCTCAGTAATATAACTATGACATTTACATGCCATGTATGACTCATCTGCACCAATGCAAAGTTGTCATTCTCAACTCCAAATGGTATGCATTGTTCTATTGTGTGACATCATGGTATTGTATCTGGGTAATTACAAACTTTTCACATTTAGTCATAAATAGTAAATCAGTTGCCAACTTGCCATATTGTGTTGGACCAGAGGTTGTTTCTTCATGAAGCAATACTCTTTAAACACAAGACAGATTCATACATTTGAGCAGCTTTGTTTTTGTTTTTTGTATGTAAGAATTATAGACGTCCTTACTGTTATTCATTTGTACCACAATCCATCATTTTCTTTCTGCTGCATCATAACTTTCCCTAAATTTGATCATCAGAGTAGAAAGCTATCATTTTTCAACCTTGTATCTCATTGTAAAGTATTGACTATCATTTCATTGGATGAATGCAATGAGCAACACTTTGCAAAGTAGGCACTGTAGAAAAGGGCATCTGTTTGACATTCAAAAATGACTGGCCGATTAATCAGGTTTTAGTTTCAGCTGTGCTTCTTTCAATTCTGAAAAAACAAAATAATTTAGATTAAGTGACTATTGTGTGGCACTCTGTGTTCCATACTTTGTTGTCTAGTACATCCATTAAGGTGCTTTGGACAGTTGCATCACTACAAAGAGAGTTCTCATTCAAATCTTGAATGTGGACTTTCTATTTAGTCTTTCTCTGAGCGTTCCACTGACCAGCATGTTGAATTAATCAGTGATTTTTTTTACATTGATCTTAGATTTTATCTATAGACCTGTGTAAGGTGTACATCTCTATTCGTACATATTTCAGTAACTGCCAGTTGAAAGTTTACATTGCCTGTTTAAATAAAAATATATTTGCCTTTAGAGGATTTGTGAACTGATAATAATGCCAGTGTTGACCTTTTTTATATAGATATACCACCCCTCTCAATGTCAACTTTTTTATACTTACCAAGCTCTTTCATTTTAAATAATATGTCTTGTTTATTGTGTTCCATTCATTACTTCTGAGGGCCAAACATGGGTGTCCGCTCTTTCCCTGGATCTCCCCCCTTTGCCCCACCTACCTCCGCGCTGTCCAATCAGAGCACAGAATGACCGTTCGTGCCTCGCGACCGTGGAGCAACGGCAGCGGGGCTCGAGGCGCGGAGCCTGTGGGGGAGGGTCACGTGTGTACACACTGAACGCTCCGCAGCACTCCGGCAGTAGTAAAGTCTGTAACGGTCGGCCCCTTTTCAGACCAGCCCCCGTACGAGAAGTGAATAGGTGAAGAGCAACTTAACGGAAACCCTTCTGAAACGGTCCTCTTCCCGTTTTTTTATGTTTTATGAACTCACGTAGAACCGGATATACTTTCAAATTCGCCCTAATTTTGTAATGAAGAGGCTGAGAAACACCAGTGGAAATGCTACATCCAGACCCAATGCCTCCGTAGGTTTGTCACAGATCCAAACCTATACGTTCGTGGTGAGTTGTTTACTCGATCCTGTTATTTCTTTTACAGAATAATACTTTCGCATTTGTTATTGGGAAAAAGCAGGAGTGGGTTTTTTTTTTCCACGCTCGGGATGTCTCAAGTCGAGTTAAAGTCGCTTTCGTTGAGCAAACATCAGTCGACGGAACGGGAGAATAAACGGGAAGCCGTGACAGCCGTCGACTTCTGTTTTCTTCGAAGTCAAGTGTGTGGTGTCATGTTGTGCGCATACATGAGGAAAAGTAGTCGTTTCCCCAGCTTTGGTCAGCCCTACGAGCTCCGCGGGTTTTTCGGCGAAGCGGGTGCTTTTGGTAACCGACACCTGGGGATGTTTCTCTGGGGATCAGCTTTCTCAAGTACACGGACAAAAGTTTAGGCGGCTAATGGAAGGCTCTCAGGTAAAAAGACTCATCCAACGGCCGTAAAAGCTTGAGCCTAAAGTAGGCTGCCTTGAGTATGAATAATGCCCCCTACCTTGTTTGTATGATAAACCTCCACTTTAACTTCTCCAATACAGAGGCTGTTAGTCCCTTTGGTAGTTAACACTGGTTAAATCTTTGGTTTGATTATAGATGACAAAGCTGTTAATTATTAAAGCAGAGCTTTGATAATTACACTTGTTCCTCATTGCTGTCTTTTAGACTTTTAAGACCGGCTGTGCATGTCTTACTTCGTTCTAATGAGTTGATTTTGTATTAACTGAAGAAAATGGGCCTTTTGTGAAATATTCTGCTCTGGTTGCCACTAAAACGCTCCTTAAGAATTAGGCTTTGCACTTGTTGTCCTGGACTTGGTCCATGTGACCGACGGGGACGCCGGCATGCGTGCGCTGGCTTAAGAGACAGTAAGCCTGATTTGTGCTGACCATTGAACTCTGACTTTGTTGAAGCCTCTCACAGTCGGACGTGTCGCCTGAAAGAAGCCAAAGAGGATGTGGGGACTGACCGTGACCTGTGTTTAACCGGGGTCTAAGAACTGTTAGGATTAAATGCTGTTTTGCACACACACCGGGGCTGTTTGAGACCGTCTGTCACTCTGTCAAGTCAAACTTGATGGCTTGCAACACAGCCTGTAATTTCTGTGAAATTAGGTCAACTTCAGGCTCTTTTCACCTCTCAGTCCTGACCCTGGCTTACACTGTATTGTCACAGTGTGTGTGAAAGTGCGTCAAAAGAGGTTCTACAGTATTTTTGTTGCCGCTCCACTGCAGACGCGGGTAGCGAATCATGTGACATCATCCAGTGCTCTCTGAGAGGGGCCTGTAAATTCCAGTAAGGGTATATGAGGGGTGTGGGCTGAGTGTGTCACACTGCTCCTATCGGCCTGTGAGATCTGGCTTCAGAACTCTGAGACGTCAAGCTCTTGGGCGTCACTGCTGGGAGATCATGTTTGGTGGGGCCGAAGCACGCCGAAGCTGGACCTCCCCTCTGGGAACATTTAAGTTAACCGCTTTTGACGTGGAGCCATTCAGAAAGTTCAGACATCCGAGGTCAAAACTGCAGTCAAAGTCACTTGCCAGTCGAGCAAAGCGGAGCATTTTCAGCTGCAATGAGCAGTTAAAAAGAATGTTTATGCTGTCAAAGCTAATTCGTATGCCTATCTGTATTTCTGACCTGCACTCAACCCCAGGCAACATCACCTCCAGCCATAAGTCCTGAAATGGACTGGAAAAAAACACTTCTCATCACCCTGAATGAAAGTAGACATAACTCATATAGCGTGAAGCTGCACCGCCACCGCGGCTTGACTAGACTTTTCTCTCTCACCTCTTTTTTTTTTTTTATTCAGCTTGGTGGAAAACTAGGGATTTCATTATTATGGGCTGGTGGCACAGTGTGCATAGCTGAAGAGCAGCAGCTCTCACAACACACAATATTCCCCTCAGACAGAGAAGATAGAGGCGGTCAAAAAGCAGCAGCTTTTTTTTCAATCCTAACCTCTGCCAACTATCACGAGACTATCACTGATTCTGATGAATTCTCATTTATAGATTCCTTCACAACTCACCAGTGGGAAATTCTGTGGAAGCCTGTTTACTTTAAAGTTCCTATGAAACCACGTAAGATGTTTGTGTTTTATCTGTGCTCCACTACGTGGCCCATTACAAAGGAAAGGGTTTGGGTGGTGTTTGTCATAAAGTGTGATGGTTCCTAAACTGGCTGAGCGGTCAGAGCAGACGGGGCCTGTGGGTAAGAAGTTGTGATCTTCTCCCCTTCAGAACAAACATGAATCTGTATGTCAACACACAGCTATTTCTTTCTGCTCTTACATTTAATCATTTTAGTGCGACCAACTAGACATTTAGCTCACTGTTAGAAGGTCTAAAGTGTTCAACATGGGGGAAAATATAACGTCTGATTTCCTTTTCTTTTACAAAGGGTAAAGTATAGGGAATATGATGGTTTCAGTGCACACAATGTGCTCTCACAAGTTCCAAGTGCTTCATATAAACATGAATATACTAAAACCCAGGCTTAAAAGGTTAACTGAGAAATTCATGTGGGACTTGGAAACAGTGACAACCTTTTTCTTTTTTTTTTTTTAAAAGACACCCAGCAGCTATTTGTCTGCTGTGAGAGCTAATGTGTTAATGAAAGAGTAGCACAATGTCCTGTATGCCATGGGTGCTAATAACATGGGAACAGCCAGCTCTAACACAGAGCTCTTTTTTTATAACTTCCCCTGAAGTGGTTTCCCTGTGAAGTGATGAAAGATGTTGTTGGTTGGGCGAGGCACAAACAAACTAAACAAGATGTGTTAAAACTCTGAAAAAAGGGCAGATAAATCAATGAGGATGGCCTTCGCTACATGTCTGTTTAGTCAGTGAATCATGCTGCTGCTGATGGGAAGAGTTGTGTTGAAAGTAGGCTGCCCACTGCAGTTGTGACAAAAACCTTGTATTTTACTTTTGCTTTCTGAGTAATTCTACACTCCTCCTGTTTCCGATCCGCTTCCACTTTAGCTCACAGCTCCAGCCTCCTCTGTATACTGGTCTCAGGCCCTGGGAGTAGCGTACGGTGGAGGCGGGCCCAGGCCCTTGTGTTCGTGTGTGTGTGAGGCTTAAGGCCAAAACAGCCCCTCTGTAGTGGTGTTACGTAAGAGAAAAGAAGAACGTTTCCCTTTTTACTGGCATCATTACATATCCTCCTGAAAACAAAACTCCTGTCCTAGACTCCCTGCTCCAGGAAGGGCTTTCCAGGAAAATTCAGCATTGATCCACTCGCATTTTTTCATTCCGAGATTTATTCTCTCATTATTCTTCATCCGGCATGTGGAAACGTTTCAGCCGCATTATGACTCAGAAAAAATAAATGAATACAAAAGACTTGAAGGACTCAGAAAAATGTCTTTAAAGCTACCTTTTTTATGTAGGGAAGTTCTATGGAAACATTTCCCAACCCTCAATTCTACATACTGCTCAAATGTGTACGGGCTTGCTATTTTTATTTTATTTTTCTCATCTTTTCCCTTGATTCCAACCTACATCTTGCTCACTGACCCCCTAACCATGCCCCCCGTTTCACTCCTCAAAAACCCGCCTATCGCTTCACGCCCCGCCAGACAGCAGCCTCAGCAGAAGATGACTGTGCCTGTCTCAGAGCAGCACCACAACACTCAACCCACGTGTGAAGCACACCAGTCTGTGTTGCTGTGAAACAGTGCCACGAGTGTACGGCCGGCTCGGCATGTGACGGTGACGCTGAGAGAGAGAGAGAGAGAGAGAGAGAGAGGGACGCAGGCGTAAAAATTCCACACGGAAACCTTGCCAAGGTGTCAAACAAATGCAGTTTTGTGTTCATCCTCCAGACCAGGACCTGATTTGCTGGTCGGGGGGTTCGGAGGCTGAACATGCAGATGCAGCATTGTGAGGCGTTTGTATTCAGCCAGTCGGAGGCAGTGAAGTGAGATTAACGGTTTTATCCGGAACATAATGACCAAGTCGGGTCTGATGTGTTTTTGTTTTTTTGTTTGTTTGTTTGTCAAAGCCATTCCTCCTCCATTTAACTCAGAAATCAATGTCAAGGAGGGCCGAATTCTGCTCATAAACTAAAAAGTATTATTTCTGCCATACTGCAATTTACAAACTTGAAGTCGATTAAAAAAATCTTGTGATGAAGGGGGAACATCCGGAGCAAGACGTTGCAACTCATTACATATGGAAAAGACAGTGACATGAATTTTTTAATTTACTTTTCTTTTTTAAAGAGCACCTTAGAAAGGCCGGGCCTCTTACAAGTAAAGATAGGGGAAAGTTCATCTATCAGCTGCCCCATTTACCCATGACTTCTGGGTTAATTGTGTACAATTGCAAAGGTTTTTGCATCTTCCACCTACACTGCATGCTATTTTTAAAAAGTAACGTCATTGGAGACATCTCCCAGCATAAGGACTCACATTTATGGGCTGCAGTGCATTAAAAGCAGATGCAAATTGTCCGTGCCTCTGAATCTACAACAACACATGTAGAATAGGCGCCACTGACAATGAAACATACTAAAAGTTCATGTTCTGGAGTAAAATTGTCTCCCATTCAGACGACTCCCAACTCCCATCTTTCTATCTTTCTTTGAGAAATCTTGCACATTTAAGCAAAACAATGCCTGACCTCATTCTGCATGTAATTCGATAGCATGGCTTAATAATAGAAGTCTGTTCTGGACTGGCCTGCCTGCAGTCCAGAGATTTGGCCCAGAAATCTTGAGAAGCTTAAATCATAAATCAGGCAGGAATGGGGCAAGATTCGTCTCTCAAAGGCCCCGACCGGTCTCATCCATCCTCAGATGTTTGTTGTCAAAAGAGCAGCGAATAGCTCTGTCCTGTTCCAACTTGTTTTTATTGAAGTGTTGCTGCCACCAGATACAAAACGAGCTTGTCTTCAATGTCTCATTTCAACTTTCATGTATTTCTGTTTGCTAAACGCCTTTTCTCCTGACTCTGTCTGCAGTTGATCTGCTGAGAGCGTTCCCAGTGTCAGAGCCCAGCGATGTGGATCTGCAATGAGACGGACGCCAGTGTGGACTTCCGGCTCTGCAAGGACTTTGGCCTCACCCTGTCGGCCTTCTCCCTCATCTACCTCCTGGTGTGCTTCCCGTTGGGGCTGTGCTACAATGTGCTGCTGGTCGTGGTGAACCTCTCCAACAAAGTGTCCATGACCATGCCGGACGTCTATTTCGTCAACATGGCCATCGCCGGCCTCGTGCTCAACCTGGTGGCCCCCGTGGAGCTCCTGAGCTCCACCTTCACCCGCTGGCACGCGTGGGAGTACAGCAACGAGGTCTACATCACCCTGCTCATCCTCTTCAACATCTCGTCCCTGGTCATCATGTACTCCACCACGCTGCTCAGCCTGGATTACTACATAGAGCGGGCGCTGCCGCGCACCTACATGTCCAGCGTCTACAACACCAAACACGTGTGCGGGTTCATCTGGGGCGGAGCCGTGCTCACCAGCTTCTCCTCGCTGCTCTTTTACGTGTGCAACCACATCTCCACCAAGATGGTCGAGTGCTCCAAAATGCAGAACAAGGAGGCGGCGGATGCCATCATGATGTTCATCGGCTACGTGGTCCCAGCTGTGGCGGTCCTTTATGCCTTCGTGCTCATCCTGCGCATCAGGAAGGAGTCCACCCCTCTGGACCAGGACGCGGCCCGACTGGACCCGTCCATACACAGGCTGCTGCTCGCCTCGGTCTGCGTGCAGTTCGTCCTGTGGACGCCGTATTACTTGACCCTGTTGGTGCACACGGTGGCGGGCGCGCCGGGCTACATCAGCAGTGAACGTTACTTCCCCGCCCATCACTTCATGAGATGTTTTTCCAAGCTGCTGGCGTTCTCCAGCAGCTTCGCCATGGCCCTCATGTACAGGCAGATGAACAAGAACTTCTCCAGCAAGCTCCAGCGGGTGCTCAGGAGGCTGCACTGCCGAGACCAGCCCTGCCCTCATGAACGCTCCACAGTGCAGCAAGTGGTGACGTGAGAGCCCTCCTGAGAGATCACAGGCGCCCCTCCGCCCCCCCCCGCCCATTCCTCCTCCTCTCCTCTTATTCCAGCCAGCACTTATCCCCACTTCTTCCGTACAGAGCCAGTATCTGAGCGGGCTTCCTCAAGACTCTGGACTGTGCTGAGTGCGACATAGCTGACTGTGGAATTTCCTGTCACTTTCCAGAGCTCGATCCGATCTGCCTGGCTCTGCAGTGATAGGAGGAACCGCGCGAAAAACCACTAAGTGCTGCTTCTTTTCATCAGTACGTTAAGCTCTCCAATAGGACAATTGGGCTTCTGGGTTCAGGGTTGTGGAGTGTGTACAATCATCCAATAGCTCACAGCGTGGCATTATCTGAGTTTCATGCCTAGAAAACCAAAACGGCCATCTCTAAGGACTGCATCGTTTCAGTGGGTGTGGGTTGGTGCTGTGAATTGGTTTGCGATTTGACTAATGCACGACTGCCTACGTCTCACTTTAATCTCTCAAAATGCTGTGATGTGATTTGATTATCAGTCTTTGCAGGGTTGCTGCATGTTCCTTTTCCCCCTGACACTCAAGTCGAAGCATTACACGATAAGCTTTGGTTATCAGATGAAGCCAGGCCATTTTGTTACTAACGCAGCACTCTGACGGAGGCTGGCTGGTTTATCAACAGTCCACCACAGCTAATGAACAATGTGTGGCAAATCCCGACACCAGCACACGGCCCTGCTAACCACTCTCTTTGTTCAATGCCTCCAAACTACAAGCCTGGGTTACTTGAATGAGAGGACTGTTCTTCTAATGTTGTGTCCCGATCAGCTAACTCAATCTGCTTTTTAAAGGCTAAAATGAAATATTGATGGTTCTATAGAGAAAATGTAAGTTTTTAAAAAAAAATCAACACCAGAACTTTACCGTAGCTAAAAGTGAGTACTGTTATGAAAATATGTTCTCTTTTTTTTTTTCACAATGTGGTTCTAATCTACTCAGTCATGAAGAGATTATTCCCACATGTGTCAAGCTTCTCAGCAGATTTTCTCCAGTAGATTTATATGAATCCTCACCACTTTAAAACCACACGAAGACTGAAAGAAAAGCTTGTATTCAGGGTTCAGATATGACCAGTATACCTCTTATGATCTCTGCTGAAACAACACGTTAAACCAACCCCTTAACCTGAGCAGTTAGCCCACTGTGGGGTTTCTGTTGGGCTTTGTTTCACTTCTGTTGGAATTATGCATGCAAAGCCTCACACGAGGTCACGCATGGGGCCCTGAGGAGGTGGCATGTACATTCCCTCCTGAGTGGCTGCAAGGTTTTGTTCAGTGGAAATACTCAGACTGGGTCACAATAGACGCATTATCAAAAACCCTGTTAGAATATGAAACGCTCTCATTCCTGTCACCTTGTGAGCAGTGTGTGTTTAACAAGTTTGAACCGTAATGCTGCTCGGATGCATTAAAGCTGCTTTGCTTTCTCACCTGCCACTTAGTAAAGAATAAGCAGCCTTTCTTATAGTGATGAGACCCACTTATGATATGCTAAATAAAGATGTATTATTGCACAATGTCTGTTGCGTGTCTGCGCTGATTATTTCTTTTGATCTGCTTTCTGAAAAAGAGGATTAGTTTATTTTTCACTCTGTGATGAGATATATCTGTCAGGTGGGGGGGATCGACTCTAACAGAAGTCAATAGGCGGTCACACAGAAAATGACAGGCCCGGATGAGGTTTTAATGAATACAGATGATGGTAAGTGTCTTTGGAAATCTTCCAGGACTGAACTTTCTCTGAAAATGTGGAAGGACTGCCAGATGGAAAAATGTTTATACATTCCATCTTTAAAAAAATAATACTTTTATGTACCAGGAGTATGTTGTGTCTACAACTTAGATAGAAACCAGTCTCTGACATTTAATTTCTGCAGCATAACTGGGCCAGGGCATCTTCAGTCACCCAGCACGACAGTACTCAGAATATGTGTTTACTTTTTGAGTTACAGTATGGGCTGGCTTTTGAAAGTCCTGTACCGACTGTGGCGCCGTTAATCATTATTTGAGCTCAGCTCAAAGTCCCAGAGCTTTCTTTTCTTTCAGAAAAAGAGGGCAAACTGTCGTATACAGGTATGTAAGTGGGTATATGAACCTTTGAACGCTTGGATGGAGTACATGTATTTTGATGGGCTTTGTTAAATGCAGTTTAATAAAACATTTATGTTTTCTGAACCAAAGCTCCAGTAGATGTTCAGTCAAACTTAACATTTAGAAGTTAATTACAGGGAACTGATTTCACAGGTTCCCTGTTATCTCGTGGTGTAACGCTCCAACACGAATCCACTGATCGGTTCCTAAAACTGCCTCTCGTTTGATGAAACACCCAAATCGAGGGTCCTTTTTTTAAATAAATTGTTTGGTTGACGCTTTTATGAAAAAATTACCAGTATATCAAAGAAAAGACAAACAAACAAAATCTGTCATTGCATAGCTACACCGAGCGGTAAAGGTTCTTTAGGTTGGTTTAATTGCACATCCTTTTTCTTTTTGATTGAGAGAAAAGGACAACAACAGGTTAAGCTCCTCTCTTACCAGTTGTCTCAGAGACGTGACATACAGAATTCTCGCCGGAGGCAATCATTAGCAATCGCCACATGAACTTAACTGCACCATGTTGACGACTGGAAAAGAAAGCACGGTCTAACCCCAAAAATCACACCCGGCCAAGATGTCTGCTTGAATCTGAGGCTGGTTTATTATTTCAGAGGGCTCCAAATCTCACATCAGTATGCACAAATCATTATCACTTAGTTTCCTCTGCGGCTGAAATGGATATGGAAAAACATAGTTCTGAATAGAAGCAGGTAAAAATTTGGCTTTTTACACAGATGACCTCGCTTTGAGATGCGCCTTCCCTATCAGACTGTGTCATGTACAGAATTTAATGTGGTTGTATTTTGAAAAGCTACAAAATCAAAAATACTGTATTACATACTGAGACGAAGTAATCTACCGTCAGCTGAGTCCATATCTGATTAAACAAGAAACAAACATGAATGTGACCATTTGTTCTTCCCAAAGAAATCTGATGAAAGCTATAAAAGCCCGAAACAACTGCCGTGCAGTCTGTTTTATGAAAACAACCCAGTCAGCCTTCATATGGTTGAACCTTCTCGTTTTCTTTCAGATACAACGTTGGATTGTTTCTTATTTTAAAAACACTGACAATATGTTTCCAACTCCAGGTTACATGAGACTGACATAAGCCGTGAGTTTTCGTCAGGTCAGGGAAATGTTCGGGTTGCCCATATTTGTTTCCTCCCTCTGAGATGAAGCTGCAGTGGGTGTGAGGATGGATGCCATAGCTTGTGGAAGGGCCCATTACCACAGCAGACAATCTGGGGAAAATGGCAGCATTCCACACATTCTGAGAATTGCATTGCTGTTTTTTTGTGTGTGGGTATGACAGTTCATGCCATTCACAATGTTTAAAAAAGAAAGTTGTGTTGGCTGTATCTGATAACAATGCTGCTCACAGAACAGTGGGGCTGCGAGCAAAGGCAAACAGAAGTGTTGCAGCAGGAAGCTAATGGGGTTAAAATGATCAGAATGACTCTAAGAAAACCCAAAATACTGTTCACTGTTGCCATTATGCACAGTCCACATCATGCTGTCTCAAGAGCCAAAGCAAAACAAACTAACGTGCTGTGAAAGTGAAGGATGGGGGGCTCTTGAACTGTCTACTCTGTTGTGAAGAATTTAGGTTAATAAAGTGGGTTAATATCGTTTTCAGGGTTTATTTTTCCTTCAATAACAGATGGAATACAGGTGGACTTTAACATCAAGAGGATCAACCAAAGAAAATGCTTAAATAAAGAGTTGTTTGGTACTTTTTAAGGTTGGAAACATATTATATTCCTAATACAGACATAGATAATTGTGTGTCAAATGAAACGTGTGTACTCCTGCAGTGTCAGACATTGTTCCTATATTCATAGTTATGCAGCATCAGAACGCTTCGTTCAAATATAACAGAAATAAGTAACAAAGCCAATGCTTTGTATACCAAGAAAAGGCCACAAAACTTGTAACTCTTAGCACCACACCGTGATGCTGTGATGCAGTGTATCTTGCAGGAAGTAAGACAATTCATTTAGTTTGTATTCATTTCATTGGTAGACTGAACGATACGTATGTCGTAATCCTGTAAAACCGAAGTTGAAATGGTTTTGAGAGTCAGTGTGTCAAATCCCAACGTTCACATTGTTTTCCTCAGCCTGCAAATTGTGGCAGTAAATGCCCTCAGCTTCGGTCGGATGGAGTAACGCTGACACAGCACAGTTTTCCCGCTGTTGCATTAGACCTAATATTGTTTTTTTTTTCTCTTTAAGAGGTTCAGCCAGACCAAAACTATGAGGGTCAGCTTTAGCAGTTAACAGCATCAGACCACCTAAGAAGACGGAGCATTTGGCTGGCAGCTTTATATGTTTTGTTTGGCTGTCGTGCACATTTCACACGCAACCTCAGACCACTGTTGTTTTTCTTAATGCACCTAAAATTGTGAGTGCACGGCACAAAGACTCAAACAAGATTGGGCAGGTAAGTATTCATTAGAACAACAAAAAAAGATAACAAAGAGAGATATTCAGCGTGTAAAAGATAAGAGAGGTCCTAAATGACTCCAAAAAAGAACAGCAAACGGAGATAAAGCATGCACAAACAGTGTGAGCTGCTTGTAGTACATGCTGCGGGTGGACGGAGTAAAACAATGAATCATACAGAGCAGAACACATGCTTCTGGGAGGAGCCTTCATCTTTGACACAGCACATCACTTCGGCTCCGGGAAAAAAAAGTGAATATGGGCAGACACTGAAAAAACAACCCACCCTTTTTTCTCTCCCCAGTTCTGGTCACTGCCTATCCTCTGTCAGAACAGGGACAAGGGAGTCAGAAAGAAAAATAGGCAAACAATGAAACGCCAGCATCAGCTAAATGTCAAAAATTTTTGCCCAAGTGGAGCTGGAGTGGGCAGGATGTTCCACTTGTGGTTGTGGCTGCTGAAGATGCCCGGTAGAGCGGGCAGCACAATCAGACTGGTAAGTGGAGGCAGATGATGGAGTTGTACCCTTCCTCTTCCAGACCTCCCACCTTCTCAAATCCCCCCAAACCACAAGTTGCCAAACTACCCGACTTCCCATTAACAGCATGGCCGGTGTTTTTGGTGTTCATCAGATGTCATTTTAAGAGGAAGTAGCACAGTTGTTGTTTCCTCCGTGTTTGCTGAGGAAACAAAAGCACGTTGTAAATCCAAAGACACGTTTCCACTGCCTGGATTTCATGAGTAGAATGAGAGCAAAAGAACCCAAAAGAATTGTGGCGTGTTGGTGTCTGATCATTTATCCCTGAGCATGTTGAATAAAATGCACTTTTACATTAAACTCGTTTAATGCACATTAAATGTCTTTATCCCTCGGAACCCTGTCAGTTATCTGTCGGATTCATGTCAGGCCGGTGCTTGACGCCTAACAGTTTCCACTTTTTGTACCAGTGGGCCACCCTGTGGACATGATTAGGAAATGCATGGTCTTTCACAACAACACGTGGTATGTAGTCTGATCTGAAAGCAAGATAAGGTATGTCATGCATACTTGTTTCATGTGTGCAAAATAAGCAGCACAGAATAAGTACATCCTACATCACACAATTTCTGTCACCTGTAGTTTCACACATTTCTGAATATTAACCATCAGACCCATGGTCTTCTTAGTAAACACACACATAGCTGTTTGAAGCCAAAATTTAATTCATCAATATATTTTCTTATTTCAACATCACTTTGTCTCTCCACAGGTCTCCTTCCTTTTCCACCAGAGTGACTTCCCCACATATTTAGACAGAATGGCTCAGATTTTAGGTTGCTGGGGAAATCTGGTTGACTGTGCCCTTTCGAAGCTCTTTTTTTTCTTACTCACAGCGACAACAGACTAAAAAAATGATCTCATTATCTGCAAGGGCTATTCTTAAGTGCTATCTCAATTGTCAAAAGAACAAACACTTATTTGTACGATAAAGCATCTTGCTGTGTCCTGTATACCTAAATAAATTTAATCAAGACACAAAAATGTGTTCTCTCTCTGTATTCCTAAGTCTCCAATTCCTGTCTTCATGCTACCTTATTCACAGATGTTCTTGTGCACCCCCTTCTACCTTACAGCCTATAACAAGTGGCAGAAAGTCATACCAGTAAATTCATCTCATACGGGACTAAAGAAACCATGTCATCAGCTCAGGTCTTGTAGGTCAGTGAACACATCATGTCAAGCACTTCCACATAGCTCCGAGGAAGAAAACACTAGTGGAGTCCAAGTTTGTCCCTGGGTATTAGACAAGAATCCAACTCATCCTTTTAGTTTGTGCTATGAACACGTCACTCATTTAAATATACACACTGCTGTTTCTTTCTGAGTCAATAAAATGGTCTCTCCCCTCTCTAACTTCCCATCTTGCGAGGATCTCAGAGTCTGATATGTCTAATTCTGATGTGACAGATGGGTCTTGCACATTCCTAATCATTGTAATAATCTGCGGTCAGTTCTTCCATGCTGTCAAAAAGACACCACTCTTACCGCTGCATTAAATGGGTCTCGGCAGCCAAAGTCTGAACTCGTAACGCAGTTAGCCTTATTTAATCATATCATGATGTTACTCCTTGCCCAGGAGTGGAGAGCTTGTAGAGCCTGCTTTGGTTCACGTTTATTGAAGATGACCGCTTGCAGTTTTTTTCTTTTCTTGACCTGAAACTGATAGTAAATAGATGTACATCAAACAAAAAAGGAACAATAGAATCAGCTAAATGTGGCTGACACACATAGATATATTGCAGCATATGTTAATGCAACAACAACATAAACATGGGCAATGTGTTTGCAAGGCTCTTAAGATCCACAGCTGAATAACGCAGGTGAACAAATACTGTGGAAATTATCAGTGGTTTCCACAGCAACCCAACCTTGGTACTTCACAACTCACTTATTTACTGTCTCTGCAACAATAACCTATTAACCGTTGCTGCATTAATAACCAATAGTCATTGATAGGAGTTCCTTAAACTGTGTGGATGAGTGGCCAACTCCTGGAATCAAAAGGAAAAGTAAGATTAAGACAAATATTAGAGAACATGCCAGAGAAACCAATGAAGCATGGTGACAAAGCATGGGTGTCAGATCAGATCTCGACTCTGTGCATCTCCCACCCTCTCATCCACAGATGGGGTTGGGCCAAACAGCAGGTGGTGCAGAAGCCGGGACATGGGATTTACAAATCTCTGGCTCTAAATCTGCAGTGGACAAACACGGAGGAGCAATAAATCCCAAATTCAAAGTAAGTGTGCGCATCTGTATTGGAGTTTATGAATATTTGTAGATTAAAAATAGATGGCAGTCTGTCCTCCCGAGAATAGGCTCATATTAGTTTTGGTGGACATCATCAGCTTTCTCTTATTGTCTCTGTCACGACACCATGGCGCTTGTACCAACCGATTACTGGTTTAAGGGGGGAAGAGGTGTGTGAATAATTAATTTGTTAAAGTTCTTCAAAACCTGAGGTAAAGCACTGAGAGTTCAAAACACTTTGAAACTTTCAACGAAGATAGTGTTCAATCAAATATTTGAAAGTCGAGAGCTACTTCAAATAATAGTTTACTTTGTTGTTCTTGGGATATTTTAAATGCTTGAATTAAGATGAAATATTAGCCATTTATCACAGAATATTCATTTTCTCTCGATGAAAGTAAAGATTTAGCAGCAAAAATCTGAAAGATTATTCTCTTATGCTGTTAAGTCAGTGAATTCATTAATTAAATATTTATCTCCTGAATTACTATTGTTAAAAGTACTTCAGTATGGAAAATATTTTCTCTGGTGGGAAAGAAGGTAAAACCAGACAACAGCAAAACATTTGCTAAAGGTTCTGATGACCAAACAGAAGATAGTATTTCAGGGAGAGTTTGAGATTTGGGGGTTTGTTCGTGGCTATTTTAAATGAAAATGACAGAGTTTAGGGGATAGAGTAATATTTGTTGATCGTGCAGGTTTAAAAGAAAGGCAAAAAAACAGGGTTTTTAAAAGACAAATATTTATTTTCATCTCACTGATATTCATGAGGTCTGGACAAACCGGTTTCGAGGGAGGTGGGGTTGTGTGTGGATTTTCTAGGTGGATTTCAATGCATCTGTTTAAGTTGGAAGCATGAATGTTAACGTTCCTACACAGTTGTCAGCTTCCTTCCCTCCTTCCTCATTGGTTTTCAGTCATACTGATTTGGAAATGTGTAAAAAGCATTCTACCCCCTTCTAAATCATGGAATTGTTTTGTTCCACTCTAATGATCTTTTCATGTTTGTTTTTTTTGTCCCCTGTCTTTTCTTCTCTCAATTCCACAGTTCGGGTGTCAGAGTAGTTCCATCTCTGGTCAAGGCTTGCTGAATAAAGATGCTCGTGCACTCAGAGAGACAAAGGAGCGCTCCAATCAAATGACTAAAAAGAGGAGAGAAAGAGGCACCCTCTAATCTCAGAAGCACACATTAGACTGCCGGAATAATGTGACACGTGAGAGGAAAAAGCCAAAGACAATTTTAAGACATGGACCTGCTTTTGTTTTGCATCAAAAATGTACGACCAGATGCAACTTGATGTCATCATGGAGTCGAACATCCCATAAATGTTTCGCTCAGCTCACCTGGCATCTGTCAGCGTGTCAACGCGACATAGATGAAGTTCACTTCACAGGGGAAAACCTGGAAACTGACATGGTTTAACGATGTAGCAGCTACATTTCGCTCACATGCGGCCTATGACTTGAGACTGGTCGATAACAATCAGAATGGAAGGGCGGAGATCTGATTTAGTCTGGATATTTGACAACTCCACAGAGCAACTGAACACTACACACGAGTACAACACCACAGATTTGAGTGAAAACTCTGACAAATACCAGTCTTACATTATCGGTCTCTTTTTGTCCTGCCTTTACACCATCCTCCTTTTCCCCATTGGATTTATCGGTAACATCTTAATTCTGGTGGTGAACCTGAACCACCGGGAAAAGATGACCATCCCCGATCTCTACTTCGTCAATCTGGCGGTGGCGGACCTCATACTGGTGGCAGACTCCCTCATTGAGGTTTTCAATCTAAACGAAAAGTATTACGACTACGCCGTTCTCTGCACCTTCATGTCTCTCTTCCTGCAGGTCAACATGTACAGCAGCATCTTCTTTCTCACGTGGATGAGCTTCGACCGATACGTTGCATTGGCGAGCTCCATGAGCAGCAGCCCGCTGAGGACTATGCAGCACGCCAAGCTCAGCTGTGGCCTCATCTGGATGGCCTCCATCCTGGCCACCCTTCTCCCCTTCACTATTGTACAGACTCAGCACCGGGGCGAGGTGCACTTCTGCTTTGCCAACGTCTTCGAGATCCAGTGGCTCGAGGTGACCATCGGCTTCCTGGTGCCCTTCTCCATCATCGGCTTATGCTACTCTCTGATCGGGCGGATCCTCATGAGGTCCCAGAAGCACCGCGGACTGTGGCCCCGGCGACAGAAGGCCCTGCGCATGATCGTGGTGGTAGTCCTCGTGTTCTTCATCTGCTGGCTGCCGGAGAACGTCTTCATCAGCATCCAGCTGCTGCAGGGCACAGCCAACCCGTCGCAGAGGACTGCTACCACCCTGTGGCACGACTACCCCCTCACAGGCCACATTGTTAACCTGGCTGCCTTCTCCAACAGCTGCCTCAACCCCATCATCTACAGCTTTCTGGGGGAAACCTTCAGAGACAAGCTGCGCCTCTTCATTAAACAGAAAGCCAGCTGGTCTGTGGTGAATCGTTTCTGCCACCACGGCCTTGATCTCCACCTCCCTGTCGGGAGCAAAGTGTCAGAGGTGTGACTGTTAGAAAAACAGCTTCTTCTACAAGCTTCTTCATGTGAAAATCAAATTTCAGATTTCTTTACCTTTTTGACAGCTTTGCCTCATGCCATAGTTACACCAGCATCTCAGACTTTCTGAACAAAAAACCCAATAAATGCATCAAGAATGTACACCCAGAGGAGAAAGCAAATGACCTGATGTATCTATTTTCCTTGATGACAAAGACACGGTATATAAAGGCTATTTTCATGCTATCATGTTTTTTTTTCTGGATTAACAGAAAGCATCAGTGACTGAACAGCTATTGAGAAGCAAGAGGCAAAGGTAAGTCACGTAAGAATGGGTCTCAAAGTAGCAGACAGCTTTTGTACAGGAAGCAGTTGATAATGCGTGAAAGTGTGAATGTGAGAGATCACCTGTGGAAACACAAAATCCGCACTGGAGCTCAAGCAGCTCCCCAGAGGAAGTGCTTCGTCACACCAAATCTATCCAGGCAATGCATTTGAGCCACTATGTAAAAGTAAAAATGGCCCTTTTCAAAAATGTCACGTGTCCATCAATCAAATAACACTGTGGGGGAGGAGGGCACCTGCGCAGAACAAACAGCAAAGAGAAGCTCTTAAGATACAGACTGTATTTTTTTGTTTATTTCCTAAGATGATAATTACCAGCATTTTGACTTTCAGCTCAGCCCTTCAATCGTTCCATATTTTGACAGATAATGTCACAGTTTATTGGAATAATGACAATATCATGAGAAAAAAATAAACAAAAAGAAATATGCAATACGGAAAAATGTCTTCATCTTGCAGCTTTTGTTTCTTTTTACACAAATAGAAATATTTTGGACATTTTTTTATTTTATTGAGAAAAGATTTTATGTTCATGAGCCTAATGTATTATTTTTTAATTCACTATAAATTAATGCAAACGCCTAACCAGCTGGAACAGCTGCAGTATACATTGTTCAGTGACACTTTACTTGATCTCAGATTAGTGTGTATGCTATCTCTTTAAACTATCACTGATTAAGAGGAATGTAACGCTCACATAGGCCCTTTACTGACATCTGTCCTAAAAAAATCATAGCCATTTTGCTAACTACACTTTCTCAAAAAGAAATAGAAATAAAAATCATGTGCAGGCTCTATGTGTGAAGGATGTGTTATCTACCAATAATAAAGTAAATACAGGAATCAATGTCACACCAAAGTTGAAGATTATGCATGAGTACAAATAAATCTGTGCATGGGGCAGCAAGAAATAATGATGTGACTGGGAAAAATAGGAGTCCGAGCCACAAACTGTTATTTCAGCTGTAACCATCCTGGGAAAGCAGCACACATTTCAGCAACTGTTTGTTGGAGGTCTCCAAAAACACAAAACTCAGTGCAACGCATATTTACTGCAAATTCTTCTGAGGGATGTTTTCATTTCACCAGTTTTTGCTCTTTGCTCAGTTTGTGCAGAAAGGCATTCTGCAACTTGCACCTTTTGAACTATCAACGGCGCAAAAGCTGTGTTAAACAGAACTTGTGCATCTGTGTTTCGTATATGAATGCAGATCCGTTTACAGGCTGTGCAATAAATTGGAAACCGCTGTGTTGCCTTATTGTTTGTGTGAAAGGCAAAAACAGGAAGAGGCGTGAGTAATAATGATATGTGGGCTGTCAGGTTCATTGATATAAACAGGGCCCTCAGTGCTAATGTTTTAAACCTCTGAGGAGAGGCAAAACACACACATATGGACACAAACACTCCCTCATTTGACATACTGTGAGAAGAAGTTGACAGTAGACTGTATGAACAGCTGAGACTACTAAACAAGGTTAAAGGTCTGTGAAGACTGACGTCACAGAAGGAAAAACGGTGTGACTTTTCCCCCTTGCCATACTCACTACTTCCTTTGGGTAATCTGGTATCAAATGATGCATTTGAAAGGAAAACAATAACCTGGATATAACCACAAACTGCAACATTTCCTGTTTGTTTGTCTTCACCTGAAAAAGGGACATTTAAGTACATGTTTAGCCAAATAATTTTGAATGTATTATGAAGACCTTCCAAGAGCAACACAGTGAAGAAAATTGCTTTGAAAAAAAATCGCTTACAAAATCATTCAAGACAAAGCTTTGTTTGCACATTCTCCAGAATTGCTCTAAATTAAGTATGAAGTACAAATCTTAGGTATGAAGTATAAATCTTTAATAGATGCAAAAGTCAGTTAAACCTCCCACAGCATGTGTCAGAACTAACTGATCTGTTTAGCTTTGTAATAGTTGTTGAAGGCTCTTTGTCATTATTTGGCTATATATATGTATATTTGGGTGATTCTCAGTCAGATTACTGGCGAAAGTAATTAGACATCCTTCATCAAGTTGTGGTACTTTATGCAATTATACTTAATCTGCCGTACAACATAAAGCAAATACTGCATATCAAACGTTTGAGGATATAAGGGGGAGACCTGAACATTTTTTTCTTATGTAAGGAAGATCTTGGACATCAACTAACTGTAAACTGAGTGTTGGTTGGCCATTTTGAAGTAATTACACCCAGATAAGCCAAGGTTTATGAATACTTATAAGACTGTGCACTCAATGAATTTTAACAGCTGAATAATGGATGAGACATATAATTGCATTTGTACATTAAAATCCCTTCTAGTGACAAAGGGGAGCTGAAAAGAACAGATTAGCCTCCCTGATCCAAAGACAGAAAAGGGTTTGGAGATTAAGATGCCAAAATGTGACAGATGCTTCAAATGGCTTGTTGTTAAAACATTCTATAACATGTTAAATTGATAACAGAGTAAATTTCATTATTATATACAATGTCTGCAAAATATTATATTTCAAGCCCACGCTTTTTAAGTATAGAATGGGGGTTTTATGCTGTCGTGAAAGAAAATTGAGGTTCTCAGTGTTGAGTTCAGCTGCATTTTTCATTTAAGGACAAGAAATCTCAGACACATTTTTTGTTTAGGCATTATGAATTTATCCAAAACCAGAAAAACAATTGGAAGATGAAAGGTGTTTAGTTTAAAGGAGTGACTGCCCACACCTATCGGTAGAAATGCAAATGACAAGTTATCTCATTCAATTTTGAGGAAGATAGTGCCTTGATTGTTTGGTTAAAAAAAAATGTCCATGCTGTTTTGAAATAGAGTATCTGCCCCAGAACCTACAAGCTTTACACAAGCTTGTTCCATTGATGTGACTTGTAATAATTTTTATCACAGATAAACTGCATCAGATCGGCGCCATTCATCAACTCAAACGTTTATCAAATAATATCTGGAATATCTGGGATTCCAACAAATTACACCTATTTACCCGGAATCTGGTAAATCACTGTTTTTCAATATCAGAATCTAATTGTGACATCGGATTATTCTTTGTAAAAAAAAAACAAATAACTAAACAATTTTGAGAAATATTTGTTTACACAAAAAAGATATTCCTATCGCAATTTCTTTTAGATTTAACCAAAGTCTTTCATTCATAAACGTCAGAAAATCCTCAGTGCATATTTTTACGTTTGGTATGGGGAAACTTCTGTCAATCTAAAACTGCCATCACAATTTTCACCGATCAGACATAAGGCAGATGTCCTTAAACGGCAGGGGACATAAACAGTCTGAATAATCATGCCCCCCCTCCCTCCCTCCGCGTGCAGCCCAGTGTTTGCAGAGCGTTCTCGTGCAGGCGGACGTGCCTGTACGCAAGCAACAGATTCGAGCGCATGCGCAATTCATTGTTTTGACTGAAAATGCCGTCGGTTTCGAAAACGGCGGCCAATGCGTCTCCTCAAACCGAGAAACCTACCCACTATACGTGAGTAACGCTGCTGCAAAAAATCAACAAAATCGCTCGTTGCCGACAATACTGCTTGCACGTGCACTTTTGTGCACTGGCTCTGTGCGCGTTTTTCAACTCTCGTGTGCGTTAAAAACATGGTGCTTTTCCTGGCTTTGTGACTACCTTACGTTACATAGCAAACATCGACTGCTAACCTCAGCGCCAAGGCAGGAAATACGGACATCTTAAACCACTCACTTGGCAAAAAATTCTCTCCTGGAATTGTTCACAGCTGTTTCATAGAGTTAGATATCAATTTTACACAGCGTCTTTAACGTTGTATCGTAATTCGGGTGCGCTAAATGACTAGCCAGGAACTCGCTAACCAGACTGCTTGTAAATAGCTCGGCCTTATTTTGAGTTCCCTCTTACTACGCACATTTATATACGTACGCTTGGATGTTTTGAATCACTGCTACGGGGACATTTGTGCGTAGTTTGCTTTCGGAATGCCAAGCTAACGTTGATGACCCAAAATATACTTGTATACAAAGCTACAGCCTGCCCAACTGAACACGACACCTCATTGTGCTCTTTCCTCTTTCCTTCCACTTATTTGAGGATAGCCATTTTAAACGGAGTTTACGACACCTTTTTTTTTTTTTTCTTCACTGTTTCAGATACTTGAAGGAGTTCAGGACAGAACAGTGCCCGTTGTTCCTCCAGCACAAGTGTACGCAGCATAGACCCTTTACTTGCTTTCATTGGCATTTTCTTAACCAGCGAAGAAGGCGACCCATAAGAAGAAGAGACGGAACCTTCAACTACAGCCCCGACGTGTACTGCACTAAATACGATGAGACCACAGGCATTTGCCCGGACGGAGATGAGTAAGTCCCCGTTACGTTGGGCGCCGTGTTGCTGCCTTTACGGCCGTCTGTGTGCATCAGCTGCTGCTCGGAAAATGTCAGGCGGTGTAGAGACAATGTATGCTGATTTCATCAGTCACGATAAGTGTTTCAGCCTGCACGTTACTTCGTCCTCTGTTGTGTGTTTTTTTTGTCTCGGTTTTCTGCCGCAATTCTTCTCGGTGAAGTAGTTTTCCAAGGCCGTCTAAAGTTTTCATAAAGGGACAAAGCATTTTTGTAATTTGCAATTTGGTGTTTTGGGGAGAATTTACTTATTAGAAATGTTTAAAAAAAGATCTGTAGTGAAAGCATATTTAATCTATTAATTCTCACATAAAAGATGTGTTGATGTTAGAGATAAACGCAACAGTTGTTTTCTTTTGCCACTTTTTTACACAAGAAGATATTTTCTGATGCATGGCTGCGTCAGGATCTGCATGACTTCAACTTTTTCCTGCTGATCAGCTTCTTCTGTCCTCCCATATATTGTATGACGTAATTTCTCAGCCAATGAGAATGTAACATGACACATGCAGTTTGTCTCCAATGTGTAATATTTTCCAAAGTGTTAGTTCCTGATTGTGCATTGTCATTTTACACTCCGATTCCATCACTGAGTTTTCACTGTTTTGATTGTGCAGTACACATATTCATTGACAGTGCCATTCGGCGCGTAAACACAAGGATTATTAAGGTGCCCCCTTAAGACTGCAGCGACTGTGTGTGCTAGTTTATTTATGATGGAGTAGATTTTAAGCAAGTGCAAAACAAGGCTGAGAAACAGTCATTGAACCACTCCAAGATGTATACTGCAATCCTTACAATTCCTCCTCTGCTAATAGAAGCTATTTCTGTATGACCTTGTGTGTTGCTATAGCAACTGTTGCTACTGAAGAAGGAGAAATTTGGTTTAGTCAAGTTGCTTATTGGCTGAACATGTCTTGTGGCGCTGATGTTATGTTAGGCTTGCAAATGTGTTAGAATTCTCCTTGAATTTAAAATTGCGATCTTCATGTTTTTGTATTAAATTAATGGGACTTGATTTTTAAATGTCAGACAGTATTTATCAGTTTTTTGCTTCAGCAATCATTCAAGTTAATATTCTACTGCAAAATGTCTAAAAGATCACTCTTAACTTTTCAGATGATGATTCCATTAACATTTTTAGGGAAATAATTGTAATTATAGATGTGGTTTTTATGAATTTGTTTTTTTTAAGCTTATTTGTGAAAGATTTTTCATTTTGTGTGCTTGTAGTTGCCCATATCTACACCGGACGACTGGTGACACAGAGCGCAAATACCATCTACGTTATTACAAGACTGGCACTTGTATCCATGAGACAGATGCTCGCGGGCATTGTGTGAAGAATGGCCTGCACTGTGCTTTTGCGCATGGGCCACATGATCTCCGACCTCCAGTCTACGATATCAGGTGACATGGAAAGCAAATGGTAGCTTTTCTTATGCCTTCCACTGTTTTTTTTTCTCTTGTTTTCCTTAAAGATTCACAACTTAAACTTCCAATTTAAACACGGATTAAAATCAAATGATGCAGACTGATGATAATGTATGGGTTGGCATTCCCTGGTTTTGGTGTTTGAGAGCTTGGCTTTATGTATTTTAAACAGCTTAAACAAACAGATGTACAAGATGAACATGTTGTAGAGCAAAAAGAGTGACTGAGGGTTATCCCAACACAGATGGGCCTTCTCTTAAGGATTTTAATTTATCATTGTTAAATTGATCAATATTTCTAAAATAGTGTCTACTTGTTTGAAAATTTGATTTTTTAAAAGATGTTTATGGTACTTAAGCAATAAGAAATGACAGTGATAATTTATTTAATTTGTTTTTCAGGGAGATCCAAGCACAAGAGGCTCTCCAGAATGGTCAGCTGGGAACAGGGGAAGGCATTCCTGATCTGCAGCCGGGTGTACTAGCCAGCCAAGCTATGATTGAAAAAACATTGACCGAGGACCCCCGATGGCAAGGTGGGTAACCCTCAAGAATAAGAAAAGGTGTGTTCGTTATCAACAAAGAAAGGAAAGTATGTGTTTCTGCAACAAGGAAACGTGAAGGGAAAATGGCATTTATACTTTGTTGATCTTTCTGCAGATACCAACTTTGTTTTAGCCAATTATAAAACAGATCAGTGTACCAAGCCCCCAAGACTATGCAGACAGGGCTACGCATGCCCCCACTACCACAACAGTAGGGATCGAAGAAGAAACCCACGAAAGTTTAAGTACAGGTGAGATGTGGCTTGGTTTCTGTCGAAGATTGTGTGTAATCTACTAGAAATAAAGGTGATGAGTTTTTTTGTTTGGGACCCTTTGAGTGCAGATCAACTCCATGTCCCAGCGTGAAACATGGTGATGAATGGGGTGAGCCCTCAAAGTGTGACAGTGGAGACAGTTGCCAGTATTGTCACTCTCGCACTGAACAGCAGTTTCACCCAGAGGTGAGTAACAATTTGAGAAGTTGCAATAAGAATTGATGTCATGCTCAAAATCCCAGTGATCACCAGGCTTTAACTGAATAAAATCCAGCTCTGCAAGATTTTTTGTGTGAGAGGGCTATGAATAGGTTTTAAATTATATTATTGTGTTTTTTATTATTTTCTGCAATTTCTTCACTTTTTCTCTGTAAACAAAGTAAAAATGGCTCTGTTGTAATTCAGAAACAGACCACATTGTTCCTATTTATTTTATTAGGCCAATTAAGTCAAAATATGCATCGAATCAACTTGTGGTTTTGGAATTTCTTTCTCCCAGATCTACAAATCAACCAAATGCAATGATATGCGACAAACAGGATACTGTCCCAGAGGGCCATTCTGTGCATTTGCACACGTAGAAAGTAAGTTGAAATGAAGAAGAATTAAACATTAATACATTTTCCTTTTTAGGACATATTTGCATAAGTTTTCCATCAGATTTGTCTAATTTTGAAAACAAGAGTGCTTGCTTTCAGTCCAGTGTTATTTCCTGTTTGACTATTTATACTCTAACTGAATTTCATATTGAATACTTTCAGGAATTACCTCTACAGAAGAGACAATGAACTCACTGCTAACAGTGATACAATCCAGTTCGCAATCCCAGTTGGGTTCTCACCAGTATTCGGAGTGTCCGGTCTCTGAATGGAACAGTGGAGGAATCTCCAACCCTTGTGCAAACAGTAGCAACGGACAACTAGAAAGTGTACGTTTCCTGTTCTACTTCATGCTCCTTTACAGCGGAATTTGTCAGTGCCACTGCAATCCAAGTGCTGCTTCGTTTTTCTTTTTTTTTACTTGTTTTTGACATTTTCTTTTGACCATTCTCAGTTTATTTCTGTGTTGTTTACTCATTTGTCATAGTTTGGTTATACTCTTTCTATTCATGGGATTGTTGTAAAAGAGATGACTTCTAGGACTGCTACTGTTATTTTAGTGTCGTATGTTAAATTTCATTCATCACTTTCAGAGTTTACCCAGAATTCAGATGTTTTCATTTTTTGTTTTTTAATCATCGTTTTATTGAGATCATGTGCACTTCTCTTTCTCAGGTTTCATGTTCTAATAACTCAGCTGTAACACCAAGCTCAGGGAGCGACAGTTTGTTATCCCCAGTGGGATCCATCAGCAGGCCCATATCCCTAACTAATAGTAGTTTATGCTCAGAATCCATCACACCCAGTGTGTCGTCTTTGACGTCAAACTATCCTAAAGCTCCGGGCTTTGAACGTGAGGATCAGGTACAAAGACTGCACTCTTTAGATTTAGGCAGAAAAAAAACCTAATAACTTATAACTGAACACCAAACCTGCAACTGCCGTTCATATTGAATCCGTATTTATTGATTTTCTAACTCATTATTATCATGATCATTTCAATTTCATCATGAGTCCTGCCTAGACCAGATGGTGTAATGTCTTTTTTGTGATTATGTGTGTTTTCAGATTATATTGTGACATCACTTATTCTCCTGAGCTGTCGGGGATATGTTTTTAATCATTGCTGCCCCCATTTTGATTAAAGAACCACCATTTTTCTAATAAATTACTATAAAAATAGATTTTTGAAAATATATAAATATGTGGTGGTTTTCTGATCCTGCTCATTTACAGTGGTCTCATTTATTAGTTTCAGTGCATACTCAATTGTAGAGTTTCAAAAAGTCGGCTGAGTCCGCTCACAGTTAGCTCTTTCAGGGGGAGTGGAGGTTAAAAACCTGTTTTTGTCTTCCTGTTAAGTTGGGTGAGTGCATGTAAATAAATGTGTCTAAAACTGTCTGTTTTTGTGTCATTTGTAGATTAAAAGCAAAGGGCACATGGATCAAAAAATGATGGACCAAGAAAAGCAGGTTTGTGAATACATTGGCTTTTACTGCTAGTCTTATTATTGTTTTTAAATGTCATTAATAACACCAGGGTTCTGCGCCCCCTCTGCTTTCCTTTTAGACACAAAATACTGTATTCTCTGCAGTAAATCCTTTGGCATCAAGCTTTACCTCCAGCATAACATCCAGTTTGGCCTCCAGTATTGGATCCGATAGCTCTTCACCCACCACCTTATCAACAATGAATGCAAAAGCCACTCCTTTCTATCCAGGGAGCAACACAGTGGAGTCTGTTATAGGTAAGTGCTTCTTAAAGTGTATGCTGTTAACGCTCCCTCTGGAATGCTTTGTCATATATCAGATTTATTTTGTTTCCAATCAGGATCTGCACTGGACCTCAACTTTAGTGATATCAATGTCGCTTCTCTTGATAAAGAGTTGGAAGAACAAGATAACGGTTTAGGATTGACAAGTAAGGGACATCTTTTTTTACCGCACAGTCATTTTATTTATTTATTTGAATAAAAGCTTATACTTTGTCCTTTAGGTCAAAGGGTGCTGAGTGGATCCGCTCCTGTTAACATTCCAGGCTCCCTGGCACGATCATCCTCTTTTAATTCCTCATCATCGCTCTCCACCTCCCCTCTAAGCTCCATCTCCCAGTCTCTGTCTCAGTCCCTGCTGTCAGGGACAGTGTCTCAGCAAAATCAACATTCAAACATGCTGGCAAAGCAGGAGCATGGCCTGCTGGGAACACCCACCTCTTCCTCTCAGAACTCTCTGGGTAAGCTGGAGTTATCAAACATTTTGTCCCAAGTAAGCTTAAGAGCATTAGTTTTATAGGAAGTACATGAGTGAATACCTATCTATCAGTCACCTATTTCACTTGAACTCAAAAGCTAAAATAACATTTCTTATTTCAGCTTCAACCTCATGTCAAAACAACTTGGTATTGGATGTCTCAAAATTGAACTGGCTGCTCTTTAAAACATAAAATGATGATGTATATTAACCCGTGAATGTTTATATCTTCTAATTAAATAGTTGTTTACGAAGTTTTCCAGTTTTATTTGGTTTAATTTACAAGGAACTCTTGTCTGAAACTCTCTCTCCTAGGCTTGAACGGAGGAGCTAGCAGCATTTGGGACTTTGTCAGTGGCAGCTTTTCGCCAAGTCCATCTCCAGTTTTCAGCAGCCTCACCTCCACAACCAGCAATGCTGATCTGGCCCGCCTTTTTAGAGAGCTGGATGAAGCCAAGAGGAAGATCAAGCAATGGGAGGAGGCCTGGCATCAGGTCAAACAAGTCAGTGCTCTGAGCGAACTCGTACAATGATTCACACTTTCTTGTGTCAGTGGTCTCCATGTCCCTGTTCTGCTATTCAGACTAAACGCTGACTGTCGTTCCAGGCCTGTGAAGCCTGCCAGAAAGATGCACATGAAGCCAAGGAGCAAGCAAAGACGGCCGAGGCCGAGCGGCAGCTGGCCGAACACAAGTGGGAGGAGACAGAGCGCAAGCTGAAAGAGCTCCAGGGGGACTTTGATGCGCTTTGTCGCACCCCTGGAACGCCTCTTCTTCGTAGCTATGGAGAGCTGGACCAGCTCCCTTTGTCAAAGCTTCACTCCATCCAGAGTCAGCTACGTAATGACCTAGACCTTATAGATGGGGTAAGAAAGCCTAGATCTCACACGTTTCACATGTAGCTTCTGAATAGTTTTTTAATTGGTTTTTCAGACTATTATTCACATCCATGTTTGTCATCGAGCATGCTTATTTGAAAGTCTGCATGAACTGTGTTTTCCTGGGATGAAGCTGATATGCGTTCTTTTCTTCCCTCAACAGGTAATATATCAGCTTCAGTCAAAGAAATGTATAGTTTGCCAAAAGCATGATCGTTGCGTTGTTCTGCAACCTTGCCAACATTATGTACTATGTGAGAACTGTGCACCTAGCAAAGCGGAATGTCCCTACTGTAGAGCAAAAATATTGAAGTGGTGATGTACAGTTACTCGAGGTACTATTTAAAGAGTTAGCCCTTTGAAAAACTACTATTAGATTACTAATTTTCTAAACAGCAATGTCTGTTTCTGTCAGTGATCGAATAACTTAGGATGAAATGATGTTTGACTGACAAAATACTTAGTATAATGAATTGGATCGCAATGCATTGTTTTGCTCATTTTATGCCCACGTTACACTAGTTACTCTATTGTCTGCCTGTACACAAAAACATGCACTCACTTTGAATATGAATGATCTTGTAATTGTCTCATCTTCAGTCTTTCAAACGTCTGGAAGGAAGTATGGGAGCTGGTTGACATTGTTGTGGTTTGATCGTTTGTCTTATGTGGCCGCATGTGAACTATTGATGCACTTAAAGTTGGCCCTGAGGAATTCTGAAGACATTTTGAACACCAGCTTCAAAAAGTAACTGCAGAATCTTTAAAAAAAAAGAAAGAAACATAAGCTCATGAAAGTCTTTTTTCCCTTCACACACAAATGCATCTCCTTAGGTGTGTGTGTGTGTGTGTCTGTGTGTGTATTTTATCTAAACTCCTACAAATGTTTTGCTCAGAGCACTCGCACCACAGCACAGAAAGTAAACCGTCCAGGAAATGCAGAGTTCACATCTTATCCATCTAACAATTTCACACATAAAATGGGCAAAACTGAGAGCAGACTTAAAAAAAAAGAGGAATACAAGTAAATCAAAAAACAAAGCAAATGAATTCCTGTCGACCTTGATGTGATGTTTTAAATCAGGAATCATGTATTTGTGTTAGCCTCACAGAACCTCTAAAACTGTCATGTTATTGTTACTGATCTGACACTGAGCGGGTATTAAACTTACCGTTTTCTGAATGAACAATAGGTGGGTTTTTGATGGGGAATGGCTTCTTTTTGGCATAAGCTCTCTGCAGCAGTAGACAAATTTCACCTCTGTAATATGCTTGAATGAATCACACTAACAAAGCCAAAATAATCAGAGTTGTGAATTTACTGTGTTCCTCTTTATAAATACAATTTTTAACCCTAATTATAAGTAATAAACAACATTTTTTAAATAAAGCCAGTCAGACATCATTCTTTTGACCAACCCGCTGAGGAAGTTCCTTTTTTTTTCATTAAAAGCACTTTGTTGACATGAGGCTTTATTAATGGGTATATAGACATTTGCTTTAAGCTGCTTTTGTAGTTATTCTTTTGTCTCTCTTTTTTTAGATTTCTTCTTTTTTTACATAAGCTAATGTCTGAAGCGTTTGTGTTTACTGTGAAACATAAGTTGATTATTTCATGTTTCCTATTGCTAAGTCATGGCATGGTTCTAAATCTTAGGATTTCATAGAAAACAATTGAATAGTTTCTACTTTCATAGTGAGATTGAGTAAAATTCAATCAAATAAATGCAAATTTAAACTGCATTGTAGGTGTAACCAGCAGCTGTAATATCAGTAAGGCACATGCAACACGTTAAGGCTGTTTTTCAATCAGATAGGTTTGTTTTGTAGAAGATTATATAGCTTAGCCATTAGTAAAGCATGTATTGTATTTGCTATAAGCCTGGAGTTTGATTTTTGTAGGAATCTAGCCTCTTGACCTTGTGTAGAACATATCGGCCTCTTAACTCTAAGTGCCTTGCCGTAGTTGAAAAGGTTATGTGTAGAATTGTCCAAGCAAACATGAGTAGTTGAAGCTTGTGCACAGGTTTTCTGCGCATTAAACTTTGCAAAAGCATCAATATGTATACGTATGATTACATGTTTATATGAGTGTATTCCATTGTATTTGGCCAAATTCCAGTAAGTATTTCTGCTGAAAATAATTGTAGACTAAAATTGTCAGTGCCTCTGTCCTGACTTCATACGTAGAAATGAACCCACATTAGTGCTGTTCAGATTCCCCCCTACCCCTCCCATTCACTCATTCCTTGGTTGAGGTGCTCTTTTGATGCTGCCTCACTCACTGAAATTAGGTTTTTGAATCTTACATTTGGGAGTATGCAAACGTAGGACTCATGGCATTTGTATGGCAACATGCTTTTTGAACAGTTTAGTTTGTTTTCTTGTAATAAGTCTACATTGAATGAAGAATTCAGTAGTTTGCCTGTAGGGTGGATTTTGTATAGGGTTTATGCTTAGGTTGCTCTAATTGAAATGACCTTCTACTGTGTTTGGGGGGGAAAAAAAAAAGTTAAAAACAAAAATCCTTTTTATTCTCGCTTTAAAATCAGTAGAAAATCATGTATCCAGGTACACTTTTTGCTACTTATGAATATGGGATAATGCATTGTTTACATTCTCACAAATGACAATTAAGCAACTCAGAGGACAATATAAAAAAGGTTATAATATTTTAGCATTTTCATGACTATTACAGCATAAAAGGCAGGCTAAACACTTCTGGTATTGCATGTCATGCGATATAATAACCAGCTACAAAAATAAAAAAAATGTTCGCACTGTGTCACACTGCCAGAATATTTTTATTCACTTATTTTTATCTAGTTAAGGCTTAACAGCTTCTGCAAGCTTCGCTGCTACTGGAAAAGGTATTAATGTAGATTCTTGTTATACATTTAGATGTTTGAATGTTGTGCATCCACAGCTCAAAAGTCATGAACTATGAAAGAATTTGTCTTATATGCATCTAACTTGACTTAGTCTGTTTTTTTTTTTCTTATTGACCTGTTCATTTGTAAATCCATTTGAGTCAAATTTTCAGTACTTTTGTAAATCACTTAATATGATGTCATTGGCCTGTATTATAGATTGTCTTTTTGTAATTGATGATTAACACTTGTTGGCATCCTTTTCCTCTGTACACTGGATAGTGGTGTACGGCGCAGCTAATTCAGTCTTTTGGGTTATTTTGTTTTGTTTTTGTTTTTTGCCTGTGAAAAACGACTAAATTGATGATGTGTGGTATGTTAAAAATGAACCAAAGTGGTGTTTTAGTAGCTGTCCAAATAAGTATTGTGTAGGGAAAATTGACCCGAATTTAGATAATGCCTGATCAGCCTGTTGCTGTTAACACAGCCAAGTCTGGCCTGAGGCAATAAACATCAGTTCAACACCAAACGTGTTCGAATCAAACCGAGTTCAAATTCAGCATTGAGAATGGAGGGCTGTCTAGATTCAGATGCTTGAGATTATTCGTACAGGAGGACGCAAACCCCCTAAGGGAATCGGCAACAAAACATCAGTAATGGACTCATGCCCATTCATTCCAGTTTTACCAAAGAACTGTCCTATTCTTTCTTTTGGACTACATTTCAGAATTAGTTTTACTACTGTAATTACTCTAAATTGATTAAAACAACAACAGCAAGGAAATCACCTAGTACCTTAAAGGGTTAAAGCTCACTTTAGGTAATTAATGACATCTTTTTCTATCTAAAGTTAGTCCGCGGACGATCAGAAATGCATGGGTTACAAAATGTGTGTTTGTACTTTTGAATTTGTGTTAAGTATACAGTTGCATTTATGGCAGTTTGTGCAATAATGGCTAGCACATGCTGACCTTAAGCGAGGACTCAATGTTAGTTTAAGTGTTGTCTACAGTGAAGGAATGTCCTGATTTATGACATTTGTGCTTCTGAAGTGGCCATATAAACTTCACTACAGTACTGTTTAATTAAAGACAGTTTTGTTTCATTCATCTAAATGGTTTGGAAAGTGATAGCTGTTCATCCTGTATTTTTATAGTAGGCCTACAGTGACTGTAAGGTGCTTTCTTTTTATCAATCTGTTTTCTATTCCTTAAAGCTGTGGTCTGAAAAAGTTTTTGTTTTTTCTGGGACACAAAATGATTGTGAAGCATCAATGGCAGATACAGACATATTTGAGCTGTTAGGGTAATTTGTTTTGGGCCCCCAGTCTGGAGTAATCTTCTCGACCATCTTCAAGCTTTCTAGAAAAAAGAAATTATTTAAAAATTGTACACATACATTTGAGAAGCACAGCTTAAAGTTATTTGCATTTCGTCAGATTTTTTTCAATTGTCTCTTCAATGGACCAATTACTTTTGAATAAATCTGTGCCTTTGATGATTGCATAATGTGGATTGACTGAAAATCAAATCTATAACATGGTTAATCAGAATCAAAATTCCAGTGCCTTACAATGATTTAGTGGACCACGATGTGATTGCTCGAGGCCCTTTGCATTCAGTCCACTCAGCTGAATGGAAAACTGCAAACCCTAACCAGATTTGCGTCCCCAATTTGAGAGAATGAAACAAAGGTTACAAGAGTGCTACTTGTCTTTCTCAGTCTGTATTTGCCATACAGTTCAAGAAAACAGCAATACCTAACCACTGAATACACACGTTTTGATCTTAATTTGCCATTCGGCACCGAAATGTTAATTATTTGAAAGGAAAAGCACCAAATGGGAAGAATCTTGTAAATGAACAGTGATAAATGTACCATGCTCTGCTCTGCATTGGAATAGTTTCATCTGTTTTGCATTATTGTTAGTTGTTGTGTCATTCTTTTTGTTTTTAACTTTATAAAAATGGAGCCAGAAGATTTATGCAATCTTGTACATGTTTATGAATATGATGTATGGAGCTGTTCAAATTAAGTAATTATTAGTACAAAGTCAAAAGTAATTAATCTGAATGTGGAACCAGTCGGTCCATGTGCATTAGAATTTCTTTTCTTTCTTTTTTTTAGTGGAAATGTTATTTGAATATCAAAACCCTGAAATATTGAATGTATTGTTCTAAATTAGATATTCAACTAATAGGTCACTGGATATAATGAAGCGCAGATAATTGACTATGATGTAGCATCTAGTTGTGAATTGCTATTCAATAAAATTTATTAGAACATAAACAAATACAAGTTTTCAAGTTTCTATTTGTCAGTGTAATGGGACAATATAAGGAAAGAAATGTGTTTTTCTCAGGGTAAAATAGGATGGATGGCGAAAATGTTGAATCTGAGGAAACTGCATCTAATGGAATAATTCACTTATAGTTGGTGGGTATAGGCATTATTTATAGTTTTAAAAAATACATTAACATATATATGTATATATACATATGTGTGTGTGCCCCTTTGTGACAAGGTATATGGATATGTAGGAAATTTCTATTGATAATTGTAGAAATTATTCTGTTGGTATATTGATATTTTTGTGTTGTGAACACAAAAACAGGTGCAAGTCTTAGATTACTAGATGTTTCTTTTCTACATTGAAGATTGTGTATCACTTATTTACTGTAGTGGATTACTAGTTTGTTAACACTTGTTAAATTGTTACACTACAGTTATGCAATGGTTTACAGAGTTCACAAATTATTTTTATCATCTTGAAAATTAAAGTAATTTTTCATCTGAAACGTGTGAATGCTTTTTGTCTCAAACTCGACCAGCCGAAGGGGGAAAGAAAGGACAGAGAGAACCACACTTTTGACAAACCTATTTATCAAAGTTCAGTGACTGATTGTCGAACAACTGGTTTGTCTGAAAAAGTCGAGGGGCATGGCATAAATTTAGCTGTGCAGAGAGGCGTTGCATAATCTTTAGAGGATGAGATTGATGAGCAAACATTTATGGTACGATGGTATCGCAGCTCTCAGGGGACAAGGCATCGAACAGGTAACGTGTCAGTTGTTTGGCCTGGAGGGAGAAAATGTGAATAAAAAAAAGCTGTTGTATTTCTGATTAGTTTTTTTCTTTTGTAGGAATATCAAAATATTTGTTAACCTTGGAAAAAAAATAAACTGTTCTTTATAGAAAATGTCATTTTGTGGAATCTTTCACCAATAGGTGAGCATCTCACCTCATTTTCACTCTCAGGGTATACCATCTCTTTTCCCACCTGTTCTAGGTCTGGTCTCTCCCTGTAAATTCTACAGTTGTGACACACAAATAGGGAAAATCTGTTTTAGAAAAACAAAAGTCCTAAACAAAGCGAAAAGAATTCGGTTTGTCTTCTTCACCTTTCCAGGGTCACTCTAAGGCCCAGCACTATCATTTCCCCTTGAAGAGCCACGATGAGCCAACAGGTTCTGTTAACATGAGCCATCATCTGGTAACACGAGAACGGTAAGATAAAACAAACCGCTGACATCAGCTCCAAAAGTGCACTGTTTAAAATCCAGCTGGCTCACCTCTCTTACCCCTGGTGACCGTTTGAGTGTGTCAGCGGTGTGTGTCCGCTGTTTGCTGTCCAGCACGCTGAGTCGTCCTGCCACCAGATGGCAGCCCGACCTCAGCAGCTGCTCCACAATCTCCAGCTGGGGATTCATGTGCTCCTGTTGTTTGGCTTTTAAGGGTATTAGCAAACAGGTTGTCTGCCAGTGGGCTCTGTGTACCTGGGAACCTGGAACCAATAAACAAACAGGATGATTATTTCATGTACGAGCAGAGGTCACTCGGAGTAAAGCCACATTTCAACATCATTTCCAGGAGACCCGCTGCAGAAACTCAATAAGAGATCAAATACCAGAGAGGTGGGCCGCGCAAAGGACAGTGTTATAAAGTAGCCTGCACCTTCGGGTGGTCCCGGTGTGGTCAGGCTTGTCTGTGCTGTATTCAGTGTCCAGCTCTGTTTGCGCTCCGCAGAGGCCACGGGGTCCGAACACAGACTCAGTATCTGGAAAGGAGCAGAAACTGTACTTTATTTGTCAAAAAAAAAAAAAATCCTTAAAAAATGCAACCTCCAGGTGTTGTCACTAGCCGCCATGTGCCTAAGAGGCATACCTGTTCCTGTCTCATGGAGCTGGTCTCAGTACAGCACACCCCCTCCGGGAAAAGGGCTTTCACATCCTCGGCTGCCTGTTGGTACGATCTTGATCCTGTAAAATGAGTCACTGACCTCTTAAACACACAGCAGTGCTGTTGGCATTCGTGTACTAGTAAATTATGAAGGCCGCTGATAACAGGTGCCGTAACTAGGTCGTACCATAGCAGGTCAACCACGGAGACCGGTCTTCTCGGCGCAGCACGTCCAGCAGTCTCTTCACGGCATTCTGGCCCTGGAGGCAGAGAGCGAGGGAGCCGGGGTCCAGGGCCCGCTGACCCTCCGAGCCCACGTCCTTTTTGTCTCGGGTCACGACCCGCAGACCCACCAGCGTGAGCCCGCTCTGCTGGAACTTGCTGAATATTTTTACCAGAGCGCCGCTCCAGACTTTGGGCTTGAACAGGCACACGGTGAACGACACAGACTGCCGGCCTGATAGGAGGCATGGGAGCTCTTTAGAGAATTTACAGAATTGATGAAGTTACATATCCCAAGAGACGAGGGAATGATAATACGGGAAACTTACAGAGGCTGATTTCGTGCTGAGAGAAGAAGAGGGAGGCTTGCCTGAGAGCCACCTCTGGTGTGGGGGACATCAGAGCGGCCAGGCTGTGAGGGTGTTCCTGCGGTAGCAGCTTCCTCATCGAAGAAAAGGCATCCATCGCTCTCAGAACACACACCAGAGCCGGTGAGGACATCAGGTGATCGACACTGCTGGAGAAGAGCTGCTGTCCCACCTCGTAAGGACTGAGCTCCTGGGCCTGAACACGAGTCAGCACAGGCAGCCACTTCAGGCCCAGAAGCTCAAACCCAGCATGTTGATGGTCCCCTAGAGTATTGCAAATGTTGAAAGGAGAGGAGGGGATTCAATTCATTTGGACACAAACTCCCTCATTTACTGTTAATCCGCTCGTTCGCTAAATGTTTGTGCATTTGTTTGACTTTTGGACTGGGAGCAGTAAACGAAAACAAGGGCCGGCTGGACACTTCACCCACCCTCCGGTCGTTCAGTGAGAACTCTGTGTAAAAGCTTCAGGTTTTGGCTCATGTCCGTCCCACTCAGGGTCAGAGTCACCACCTGCTCCACGTCACGCGGGGACGAACACTTCTGACGTGAGAGGATCACACCTGAAGGATTCGGAACGGTCCACATACGCCTCACTACAAAGAAAACAAATCCTAAACAAAGAGAGCAACGATCGTGGACCATTTCCAAGGCACTGTATGGACTCTGCTTACCATAGTTGTAGTCCAAGTTCTTGTTGTATGGAACAGTGTGGAAACAGAGGTTTGGCTCTGTTGAGTACAAGCCACCCAGCAGCTTTTGATCCCTGAATTCTCTCATGAGGGCTGAAGAAATACAACATCGGACCATGTTTCTTTGCAGAGCAAAGAGAAAATGCATTCTTTTAATAAATGTGTTTGAGGAGTTGTTGTTTTTTTCCTGACCTGACGGCAGAGTGGCGCTGTGGCGTGATACGTTCTCCCTCCGCAGTAGTAACACCAGGCACAGCGAGCTTTTTAGCTCCGCCTGATCCGCGCTGGGAGACGAGGGCCCGCAGAAGGCACTCATCTGCGGACACAGACACGAGCAGACGTGGGAGGAGACTCCTCAACCTGACACGGTCGCCTCGCTCTGCTACTGTAAACACAGCGTGTCCCCGTGACACTGCCGAGCGAGCGAGGCCGTCCTACCTGCTGGCTGCTGAGTCCCAGGGCGCCGGCGGCGTTGGGCTGCAGCCGCAGCCTCTGCAGCCCCATGAGGACGAAGCCTCTGCGCTCACACGTGAGCAGCACCTGTCCGTAGAAGCGTGGAGGCACAGCGGGGGAAACTGTGAGAAGTGAGTCCGCTGTCAGGGAGGAGAGAACGATTAACAGCTCCACTAAAGTCAAAATCCATAAAAAAACGGAAGCAATGATGAATAGAAAAAATTAATGAACCTTTCAGGGGCTATAAGAAACCTTTTAAGTTCATCTTACAGAAATACCTTTTTTCGCGGCACATAGACAAGAAGACGAACTGCTCAAATCAGGCTGGCTGTCATCTGAAGATGCACCTCTGCCAGGAAAAGAAAGCTGATTATAACATTATAAGACCAAAAATAGGTCCCAATGTAATATATTCAAGCCTTTTTAATTTATTCATGTTTTTATTTCTTTATCTATTTTGCTTCAATTTGTCCTGTGAAGCACTTCTTAAAGCCTAAAAACGTTTGACTATTGCTAAAGTTAAATGTCAAATACCCACATAGTTTTACCTAAATAGACGTGTATTTGTTTGAAATATGGATGATAATAAATCTAGTTATAAGATAACTTTTTGTTTTAATGACAGCAGACCTGTTTGGATACTGGTTGGGATTCTGGGCACCTCTGCCTTGAATTCTTCCTGCAAACCACAAGCACAGCTCCCTGTGGACTTGACCAGTCAGCTGAGGGCAGCATAGGAGGGAAGGTCCTTGATTTCTACAGCCCAGAAGACCGGCAGAAGTTTGAACCGTATTCTTGAGCAGCAGAGGATGTAAAGACTTGGTTATGTTCCTGATCGTTGAATGGGCATGAGGACCTCGGACAGCGAGGGCAACGACGGGCTGGTGTGGCTCGCCCTGATCGACCTGAAAACCTGAATACAGGGAGTTTTTAGACATTGTTCTCCTACAGTGAGAAGGATTCTGTAGCTAGTGGGATAACATGTGTCTCACCACTTTCACTCAGGAGCCCCTGGTGTGGATAAAGCAACCGCAGACCACACACATCGAGTCCTGAATCGAGGACCAGATGGAGGGTGTAGTTTGTTATTAGAGGATTTTGATAGAAGTCACTGCTCCCCAAAGCAACTGACACCTGTGCCAAAAATAAAGGGAAAGATACATACAGTTCACATATAGCACGCTCTAATCAAGCGAGCCTTACCTTCAAAGGAAAGTTAACAAAGAAACGACTGTTACCACCCCTCACTGAAGGGGACGCCACGCTCACCTCTGTGTGGACTTCTTGTTTGCACTCTTCCGTCTTAAAAACCAGTTCAGGAGTTTCCACTGTATGCCAGTAAAACCCTGGATTGAGCCCAAATGTGTTTTCTATAACCTAAAGAACAAAGCCACAGGAAGGAAAATCCATAATAATAATAATAATACAAGAACTTATATGAGCTATCAGCCTGTGAGTGAACTCACTTTTTTGTTGGAGGTGGCAGAGATGAAGCTGTTCAAACAGGAAGAAGGGAGGTGGATAGGTGAGGTGAAGGGTTGCTGGTCCAGAAGGTCTTTGAGCTGAGGCAACCAGCTTCCAATTGCAGTTAGTGAGGTGTTGGACAGGAATCTGCAGACGTGGGTGTAGAAAGACGCAGCGACATGTTCGTCTCTTCTCTATAAAAATAAAAAACTGTCAGGGACAAACTAATAAAAGGACGTAAAAGAGACATGTTTTAAAAGCTTTCTCTTCACCTGTGGTGTGGAGCGGTGATGAGTCACTGCTAAAACATGCAAAACCAGTCCATGTTCGGTCCTCAGCTGTTGAAGTCCTGCAACCTTGAACGGTACCTCAGCGCCAGCCGCATCCTCCGTGTGGCCCGGGCCCGCCTGAGGAGCGAAAACACGTCACCAGTGGACTCAGTGTCAGGATCAACTACGGCCTCTAGAATCCATTACCAGCTTACCAAAGACAAAAACCAGGCCACTAGAGCGTTGTAGATGTGGGATTTAGTCTCAGATGAAAACAGATGTTTTCTTTTTCCAGTAGGAACGTTCACGCTTTCCACCATTCCAGGACCGGAAAGGCTGACTGTCAGGAACACCCAGTCCTGGCTCTCCATTTTGTCTGGTAGTGTTCTTATTGGCTCTCGATGAGAAATTTCCTGAAAGAAAAAGTTAGCTTCGGAAAATGTGGTGTGGATAAATCCTCTTTTCTTCATTGTGCGACACTTACTTCCTCATAAAGAACATCTGTCCTGTCTGCAGCTGACGGTTGCAGGTACACAGATCTGTCTGGACGATGGCGTTGCGGCTCCTTCTGGATCTCTTGGTCTTTCTCTAGATGGCTAACGCCTCGTTTCTCTTCTTCACTACCGGATTCAACACAACAAATAACTATTAGCTGTTTCTTAAGGATGCAAACAGAAAATGACAAATTTCTCACCTCTGCCATTGTGGGTCCTTAAATGAATGATCTTTAGTGTACAGTGGGCTCAGTGGGCTTTCCATTTGGGGTTTTCTGGACTTTTCCAGAAGTGAAGAGTGCTCATCAACCCACAGATGGTGTGAGTCATGGCTACATATAGACTCTTCTGTGCGAGTTGGCTTCTCCTTCTTATCCTCGGCTTTTAGATGATCAGTTTTTTTGTCAGAAGGGTTATTTCCATTTCTCCTCATTTCCCGCATTTTTTTAAGTAATGTGCTCTTGCAGGTTACATCCCTGTGAGCAGAGACAGTAACATGATTTAGAACAAAATGGGCTGAAGAGAAACATGCGAGTTTATGGTAATAACGGATAGATTAACCTGCCATCCGTTTGGGATCCTGTGAGTTCTTTAAGGTTATGCTTCTTCAACGTTGCTTTTTCCTTTGCAGTGTTGTCATTTTCAGGCAATATGAACTCTGATGAAAGATTCAGGGAGGTCTTTGCGGGTTTCACTGAAGAATCATGACATCGCAAGTCAAGATAGACAGTTGGAGGCTCCTGGTGACTCAGCTGCAGCTCTGCTTCCATCTTTTCCAGTGATTTGTTCCGTACATTCATTTGTCTGTGAGAAATAAGTGCCCGCGGTTACTGTCATCCACCTGATGTGGTTCCATAACTGTATGTGAAGAATGTGAGTTTTTACGCACCTAACAGAGTTTGGCTTTTCCACAGGAGCTGACACAGACTGTTGGTGACAGAGAGCAGTGAGTCTTTCCATCAGATTCACCTCATGTTGTCTCTTGTCACCATCTATGAGCAAAGACTGGGTTGAAGGTACAATTCCACATTCCTAATGTACTCCACAGTTATCCAAACGCTCCGCATTAATGTGGGGATAACTTACCTGCATGTGATTTGACAGTCCCAGCTGAAATACCCTGCTCTACCGACATGTTGCTGTATTTTATTTTTTTGAGGACATTGTCCAAGTCCCACTGGTCAAGTCTCTGAGGGAACAGATGAGACGTGGAACTCTCTTTGTGTCATAGTAGGAATTATAACATATTTACCTGCATCATCAATAACTGCTAAAAGCAAACTCACTGCAAATGAGAGGATGGGAGCAGTGGACTTTGTGTGGTTCGTGTCTGGTCTTAATGAGGTATGCTGTTTGGCTCCAGCAATGGTCAGTATGGGTTTGCTCTCACAGTCGCCTTCCTGTAAGGGTTAACAATTAGGAGAAGTTCTTTTTCAGGTGTCCAGGTTCTACATTACCTCAGTCAGGAAGGAGGCTGCAGATCATTTAAACCCACCACAACATCAGAATCAGAGCTTTGTAAAAACCAGTGAGCGGTACGGTCTTCTACAGATTCACTGTCATCCAACAGCCGGAAAACATCATCTGACCCATTTGTTAGTGTTGTTGGTTTCAGCTGCTCCTGATTAAGACAAACACACACACACACACACACACGACAGCATTAAAATATACTGACAGATTTACAGTCAAGTTTGTTTTGAATTCATCAAGTTTAGATCACAAACCTCAAGCTCAGCAAATTCTGAGGAAAATGCGAAGTCTTCAGGAACCTCCAACGAAAGACCAGCTGGTCTTTGATATATGCTAACAATGTCTTCATTTCCGGGCTGTAATGTCAGAGGTATGCATTATTTGGGTAGATTTTTTCATGTGGTCCTTGCCAGCAGAAATCTGAGCCCTCTTAAAGTAAAAAACATAAATAAATAAAAACTTACTGCAGACAAATCAGTGTCCATGGTAGGTGCGTGTTGTTTGATTTCCTCTGAGATTGAGGAGTTACTGAAATCCATGTTTTCTGCACTTTTTGAGCTGTTTCTCCCCGCCGCTGCTTACCGTTTACTTGAGCGTTCACGGTTACCCTTAGCAACGAAACGCCTTCTTTCCGGGTCTGTGCGCGTCATCAACAGCGTTGCCTTCAGGTGCTTCTAGGAATACTTTTTTGTATAGTGGAAACTTTGTTTAGTGCCATGTCACAGAATCCTCCGTTTTTTCTTAGACATCCTACCTTTTTCAAATGTGTTTTTTTTAATAGTGTGTATAGAGTGTCTAATGATGTAGTGAGTTGGTATCAAATGTATAAGATCGAAAGGAACGAGTTTTTTATATGTGCAAAACTTAAAAAAGTATTTGGGAGATGTGTGCTTAAATTGAACTTAAACTGATTCTCTTACTTTTTTCCAATGAATGTGTACACATGTAAAAACAACGATTGGATGTGCCACATCTTTACGGCTGAATTATATCAGACAGACAAATTAAGTTGAAAATAAACACACTGGGTATTGTAAAATATTTAGAATTGTGGCTTTTTAATTCTATTTTAAAATATTCACAATACATCATATAACTTGATCTTTAAATTTTTTTTTGTTAATTATTAAATAACAAAAGTCCTTCCATTACTAATATACACTTGTATACCACATATTCAAATAGAATATGTGGTATACATTTGACATTCATCAGCAAAGATGACACAGACGATGTATTTTTTAGCAGGACTTTAAAAATATGCTATGCAATCTAAAAATGCTTTTAGCAATAGCAGTTTCTATAAAGGTATCAGTTCACAGCAATCTGACTGCACATACATGATTTAAAACTAATGCGCTTAAACGGTCAAAAATGTTCTATAAAAGCAGGTAACAATTTATCTGCTGCGTATCAAGCGATCCCTTAAAATTTCTGTGTTTTACTTAGCAGCTTTGAAAGAAATCCCCATCCACGTCCCGAAGGTCCTGACCAGCTAGACGTGTTGGACTGGTGCATGTGATGTTGTTATATATGGTGATGGTTGTGTCAGGCTCTTCCCCCTCTGCGTGGGTCTCCACTTGCCGAGGTACCACCATAGGGTTCCTCAAACTGAAGCTTCTGAGTGTGAGTACGCTGCAGTCACATTTCCACCGGTTTCCTGATAGCAAAAGTTTTTCCATGCTCTCAGAGAAATTAGGGACCATGTTTGCCAAGGAGTTGGCCCTCAGATCTAAATAACGGAGCCTTGGAAGTGACTGCTTCGTTCCGTTCTGCAGAAACTGTCTACATTCGTTGTTGGACAACAGCAAGTACTCCAAATTCTTGAGGCCAGAGAAAGTGTTGGTTGGAAGTACGTCCAGCTTATTGAAGCTCAAGTCCAGTGCCAGTAGGCCTACCAGATCCACAAAGCTCCGATACTCCAACACAGAGATATTGTTGTGTTGAAGGAAAAGCCTGCGTAAACCGGAGAGTCCAGTGAAAGCCTGAGCTGTGATCCTTGTTAGGCAGCCTCTGTCCAAATGTAGGCTGTGAAGCTTTGACAGACCTTTGAACATTTGGTCTGGCAGGCTGGGAAAGCAGCTCCCTGACAGGTTAATGACAGCCACATGAGACAAGCCTGTGAAACTACCCATTTGTGCCTCCTGCACTTGATTGTGTTCGAGTTCGAGGACCTCGAGGTGGCTAAGCCCTTCAAAGATCCTGTCTCCCAGAGCCCGGATTCTGTTGTAGCTGAGTCGTAGTTCTTCCAAGTACTGCAGGTCACGGAAAGTCCTGGGCCTAATAGCATTGATAGAGTTGTTGGAAAGACGCAGTACATGCAAACTGTGGAGGCCCAAGAACGTGTCGTCGTGGAGGGAGGTCAGCTTGTTATTCGTCATATCCAGCCACCTGAGCGACTTCATGCCCATAAAAGCTCGGGGTACCACGGTCACAATCTGATTTTGGGCCAAATAGAGTTTCTGCAGTTTAGTGAGTTTTACAAATACATTGGCTTTAATGACCTTTAGGTAATTCCCTGTCAGATCTAGCTCTTTAAGCTCAGCAAGGTTTTGGAAGAGCTGTGGCTGCAAGTAAGCAAGTCTGTTTCCTGCCAGAATGAGCTCCCGCAGACCTTGTAGGTCATGGAAAGCCGTCTCCGGTAAGACTGTCAGGGAGTTCCAGCCCAAGTTAAGAAGCCACATGTGCGACAGCCCAGAAAAGAGTCTTTCCTCAATACGACTTATCTGGTTGTTATGCAGACTAAGTGACGCTAGGTTAGGTGTGTTCTGGAAGATTGTGCCTGGTAAAGCCCGGATTCGATTTCGCTCAAGATGGATGTGCGCAAGGGACCTGAGGCCTTTGAAAGCCTGAGGGTCAAGGGTCATCAGTTGACCATTCTGCAGATTCAGAAAGTCCAGATTGGTTAGATCCCTGAAAGATGCTGCTGGGAGGGAGGTGAACAAATTTCCATCCATCCAAAGAGAGTGAGTTGACGGGGGCATGTCGGTCGGTACTTGTGTAAAGTTCCGAGCACTGCAGTACATGTTGAGCTCCAAGCTGTATTCATCGTGCAGACAGATGCAGCCCTTAGAGCAGGGGATCGGAACTTCAGCTACCTTGTCTGGTTTGTCTGGGTCTGGCAGTGCCAGTGATGCTCCCAGTACCCATACCAGCAGCACAATGGTTTGCATACCAGCTGTGGAAAAATTATGAGATCAGACCATAGCAACTTTATAGTAACTTCACTCCAAAATACAGACTTTTCCAAATGCTTCTTGTTGTCTGGATAACTTTTAGCTTTCATGTTTGAATATCTAAATCAGATTTCTTACCTCAGATCCCAGCTATCTTAATTCAATGTGGACAGGCTGTGGAAAACTGAATGACTGATCCTTGTGCAATTGTTTGTATGCCGAATGGAGAGTGACTGCCAAGCCCTCAAACTTTTTCTAAGCCAGTTAGACTGAATGTGTGCTTTTAACCCGTTCATTTCCAACTGACTCGTCAGAAAATTGTATTTCTCTGACTCATTTCATGTCTGTAACAAGATTTACTTCACTAAATATTGGTCTTAAATTATGAAGTTGTCATTGTGTTTGCCATGTGAATACGCCTCATAATGCTGAATGAGTCTGCCTGTCTGAATTTAAATTCCAAACAAAGTGCTATATTTTCATGTTCCCTTCCCACAGTTTTAAAAACTGATGAAGGGCTTTAACAGAGGTTGCTGTTGGGTGTTCACTGAATTCAGGTTCCTGTCATAGATTTGATCTAAGATATAAAATCTTATAGAGATAAGGTGAACCCAGTACACTAGACCTGTGACTGAGTTGATTACTTTTGTTTCATGAACCCTTTAATAATGGGAGACTTTCCAAGTGGTAATACAACACAAAATTACATTCGAAATCTGGACAGATACACCTAATTAAATTTCAAAGCTCTGACAAACTCCCTAATTGTTTTGTTTTTTGTGTTCTAATACAGTTAATCATTTCCTTTTATTTGAACGAAGCAGACAGCCTCATTATAAGAACTGTAGGCTGTCTTCCAGTTGTCAGAAAGATGAGTTACTGAAATGACAGAGTCCATTTCCTGATCCCACGTCTGATTGTAATGACTAACTTTCTGTTTACTTTTTTCCTTAGTTTCAGGGTTCTTTAGACAAACTTGAACTGGTCATGCTCGGAGGGGCAAACAAATCTAGATATACTTTGTCCTTGCACATGAATTCTATTGATTAGCACAGTACTACAAAATTCATCATGCTTTATACTTGCTCTGATTATCCAAAAGATTTCATTCAAATCTGCTCTGCTGTTTTTCACTGTACAAGGAATTTATGAGTGAAACGTTTCAATGTGTTATGCTTATATTAAATGACTAAATTTGAGCTGAAACCTTGAGCATATTTTGCGTTCACACTATGCTTACAATGTGGAAATGTATATGCAGATGTTTGATACTTAAATTTTGTACTTAATTGTTTTACTAACAGAAAAGTAAAACACTGCACTTTTCTCTGCTGTTAAAAAAAGGAAAAAACATAGTGTGGTATATCTATTGTTTTGTGATTGTTGCTGCCCTGACAAACACCTCTAATTGGCTCTTTTCGCTGCACTCAAGGAGAGACAACACTTAGCAGGTCTGTTGGTTTCTAAGGACTCTCTAAGAGAAGATAAGGAGTCTTAATAGTGAGCTGCAGAGTCTGCAGTCAGTGCTGTGAAGTCTGTGCCTTGTTTCACAGAGAATGTTTTTTTCTAAGTAAATCTTGATTTTATGCTTCCTCAGTAGCAAAAAAAACAAGCCCCAAAGTCATGATGTCATTATGAATTGGAATGCATGTGGATCAGTGCCGAATATCCTCAAACTTCCTTCGCTTTACAGGAAATGGATACCAGGGCAATCTAACCATGCCCAAAGGAACAGATCACAACAGTGAATGATAAACTTTCAGTCTAATATGAAAATAAGTCCTGTGAATGCTTAAATGGAAAAACCCAAGTTGGATTGGTCCTATGGGCCTCTGGATATGTAACTGGTAGGGCCCTTAGATCGGTTTTATGATTCGCAAATAAAAGGAGCTGAATTCTTCTTTGCTCTGAGAACATCTGACATGGAAAAGAAAAGGAAAGGTTAAAGGATGGAGCTCTGCTATTAGCCTAGTGGAGAGACTTAATTACTTAAACTGTCTTCTTTGTCCTCAGCAGAGACTTGAGATGAGAACAATCCAGCCTCCCGGACACGTCACAGGTTCTACCAACGCTGCCATCCACTGGTGGTTTGTTGGAGTGTTATTCCCTGTCAAGAATTTCAAAACAAGTCTAAGAATTCTGGCTTCATGAAGAGGTTTTTCAGTGGCCTATCACGCTTAAGGTGGTGCAGGTTCAGCGCTGCTGCGAACCCTTGTGCAAATTCACCCTTTGACAGCCATACATCCTCAACACCCCTGCAGGGACTATTAATAACACTTGGAGCTCACAGTCAATTGCTGCTTTCTAGCTAGAGAGACTGAACTGGCTTTGTTTTGACATCTGGAAGGTGCTGGAACATAGTCACAGTTTGTTAAGTGACTATGACCGTTATGACCAGAACAAAACATAGCTCATTTCAATCACTTTTGGACAGAATAAAATTTGGGCGTTAATTATACAATATTTCTATGACATACACTTCATTGGTGGAAGCAGTCAACAAAAGTTGTCCATCTTGGAACTGAATTTATTCAATGTGATACAGAGTCTCTATATTTTTCATAAATTCATTTAGTGTTATTATTCCATGATTATATTTTCTTTCATTGTCTCTTTTCTGTATTAAATTTTATGTTGATTTCTTTATGTTCTGATTCATTTTATAAAGCCACCTTATATATACATTGTCCGACTGGCTGAAGACTGGCTGAAGATAAACTACTAATTAACTCTGTATGGAGGCCTATCTGCATTGCCAACGCACACCGGTCATATTTAAAAGTAGGTGGACTGACATTTATTCATATGGAGCAAAAAAGTAGTAGTGCCTTATATGTCAAAACAATGCAGGATGCCTGAAGGTTATTTTGGAAGAGGTAGCACCAACAGATTTCACAGCAAACAGGAAGAACCATCACAGTGTCTTCAAAGTGCCTGAATGATGTTCAGGTGCTGTGTTGGTTTGTGTGTGTGAAGCATTTTTTTAACTGGCAGATGCCTACAACGACCTCCTGGTCTATTATCACTCACCTCTAAATGACAAGTCCATTCAATTTTTTTGTCCAGATGAGGTTTAACTTTGAAGGATGCTGCTTGAGGGGAATTTATTTGACTGAAAAGTGTATCTGATTTACGAGTCAGGAGCAAACGTTTGTCTCAGTGGAGAAAAGGAAAGAACCCAAACATCTCAGTAATAGTTCTCTTTCAAGATTGATTTATATTCTGGATGTCACATGGCCTTAGCATTGCAGGGAATGATTTTAGGGAGCTCGGTCTGAGGTTTATTTATTCTGTCCTTCAGTTGTACTTTTCTATTCAATCTTTTAATATCCTCATGTGATTAAATGCTGGCCCAGATACAGTAAGTAGGTTGACCTAAAGACGATAGACATATACAAAGCTACTGTGCAGACTTAAAGCCTTAATTCAATTATTTAGATGGTAATTCAGCCTTAAAACAACTATTATAAAGCTGCATTTCTGTCTTTGCCATTATCAATCGTTATCCTCTCTCTAAACTTGGAGGAAAAAACCTGTGAACCTTGGTTCTCTAATTGACTATTCAGCATTATTTTACCTCACATGCAGCAACTGTTGAAAAATACAATCTTCCTGCCATGCTTTAGATATAGTTTACTATGGTGCACTGGCATTGCTCAAATACCTTAAAACCCCTTACTCACTGAGCTAAGAAAAGGCAAGATGAGCTGATTTGTCCTTGTGCAGACTTTCTGTTCTTGTCCTGCTTCCGCCTCACATGCAACATCACTCAAAAATATACTGGAGGTTATTGTATTCACTTTCAAAGTCTGGTACCATCACACCTATGTTCAGCCTGTATCTGTGTCAAAATAGAACACTTTAAAAATGTAGCACCCCCTCTTACTATTACATCTGTGTCCATATCAAAACTACAATGCACCTTTATTTAATGTGAGACAAAATATAGGATTTTTAAGCCACTGATATTTAATCGAAAATTTTCACTAACCTACACACTGATGTCCCCCCCCCCTGCATGACTGAATCAGGTTACTGTGCTGATTTAATTTGCAGTGGGATCTACCTTAGTGGTAGGAAACAAGATTTGCTAATTAACAAAAATGTCTCCTGGCATTTTAAAGAAAATGACGGTGTTCTCAGAGGATTGGCAAAACTTAAGTTTTGATTGAGAGCCACCATGTAAACAGGAGTAATCTACGGTAAAAGTCCTTACATCGGATCATCTGATCAGTTTTTATCCTCCGCCATTTTGGTGGTGCTGCATTGTTATCATTACATTTCTTTGGTTAGCAGTAATTTTAGGATGCCTCTAATTGAGAGTTTTAATGATTTTTTCTGTTGCCTATGGATTTGGGAAATGACATGGTGTTGATGAGATCTCAGACCAGTGCAGTCTGTCAAACAATGCCCATTCAAAAAGAGGAATGCACAATTAGGATGTCATCCACATAAGTTTGATGAGGACAAGTGCTAAGGACTCAGAATAATGTGTTGCGGTAGATGAAAACAAATTAATAATCCATGATGAGTGCAGTAAATTAATTCTGTTATCACAATTGGCTCATGTCCATGATCAGTTCAACTTTTTTAGGAATTCAAAAACTATGTTAGATGAGACTTCTCATTGAAGGTTTGTGGAGCCTTTGTGTTCACAAAAGCATTTAATCAGACATGAGCTATTCCAGGTCACAGTCTACCCCTTTCACAGCAGCACAGATAAATGAAAACACAGGCTTTGTGCGTAGTTACAGATAATTTATTACGACCAAAGTGCCACTCTAGAAATCCAAGGTTTCAACAAGACACCTTTATAATGGGAACTATTTTTCACAACATGAACACATATAGGGTGAATATCTAAGATGACATGGTGTGGATGTGAGCTGTTGTAACGCAATGGTTGTGATTATTTCCAACACGGGGTGTGACTTGAGCCTCATGTACAGGAGAATTCATAACAATATAAATCAGAGCAATTACATAATGAAACACATATTGTGATAATAAAAGGATCCTGTGAACGTTTTGGCTTCTAAAAGTATGCCATGTCGTGAAAGTGCCTGGTGTTGATACTAATGCAGTATGCAAATCAGAGAAAAACAGAGAAATACAATTATTGATATCAGCATTAATTATAAATCTCTCATATAGTATTGTATGTTAAGAGAGACTCTGATATTGTTGATAAGGATATAAACAGTTCTCATTTACAAAACAATAGTACGTAATGGCAACAGAATATTATATGGATGAATAAAATCTCATATCATGTTACTTTAAAATAAATATTCACATAGTTCAATCAATTATTTGAAAATCTTATTGGAAAATAGTGCTTGGTCTGTGAGAATATCAACCCAAATACAGAAGTGTGCATAATGTTTAATGTTTTAAATGTTATATGTTCTGTTAGAAATTAAAATTTCAGAAGACATAACTTTACCAATAAACTTGCCATTTCCACTTTCTTGTTGCATTTAACAGTTCAGAGTGCAGCTGCATGTTTTCTTCTCTCACGCATCATTGACTGGCACATAGGACTCGTAATCGGCTTCACCAGATAACAAAGGGTAAAGACAACAAAACCAAAGTAGCAGATAAAATTGATGTAAATCAGGTTATAGAGATCAAATGTATTTCGATGACCCATTCGTTGGTGTTATGGCTGATAAAAGTCTGTTACATTCCCTATCACGATAAAACTCAGCACTAGTGTGGAGACTGTTTGTGAAAGTTCATTAATGTATGATTTGGAATTGAAGTCACAAATGTCCGAAATTGTCTAACAAAAAGACATTAAAGACTCAAACCCTGTTGTTCTTGGTGGTGTTGTGGAAAAGAAATTTTGAAAGCAATCACTGGTGCTTTGTATATCATCACATATGAGATAAGAGCTGTATTTCACTCTGGTTCTGAAAGTTCAGGCAGCTTTGTGTTAGGTTAGAACTGACAGTTACTTGGTTTTGATTGAGCATTGATGTTTATTTTTTAAATAACACGCCTGATATTTTAAAAGCTGATTTGAATAGGTCTTATGTCTCATCAAAAAGTCATATTGAGTCCTCTGTGTAAGGACACCAAATTCATTTGATGTTCTCAAAAGACATGAAATTTATTGAAACCTCTTTCTCAATAAAATAAAATAAAATCTGAAACTGTAAAATAGAGGTTGGTCATGTGTCTCTATTTCATTTTCAGTTCATAGTGTTCAACTTATTTTGAGTGGATGATGCATGTTGGATTGCAGACAAACTAAACTAACACTGGCCGCCTGTTTTCTATAGCTGCCTACTCTAATTCAGAGTGGACTGGAACCTGTCCAAGCTACCATTACCATAATAGCATTACCAGTCATTTAGATTAGATATTAAAGCTACATGGTAAGGGCTAAGGAGAAAAGCTGGAATTACCATTCAGCAGTGGACCAATGGGCACTTGTTTTAGGGTGAATTCAATTGATTTAAACTTGACAATCATGTCTGTTTTTAATCTAACATCAGGGCACATGTACACATTTTTTGAAAAGATGTTTCTAGCATCAAATAAAAAAATGCATTTATTTTTCAAAACGAAAAACAGAATCACAGTTTCAGCATCAGAAACATGGCATTTATTAAATCTTAATTAACTATTTCATCCTTTTGTAATTTAGATTTTAAATATCAAGACAACTTTTTTGTAAACAGTGTTGCTCTTTTATTGGTTTTGTTCTTAAATGTGCATGCTTTTTTACTTTACGTGAACAAATGTACAAATCTAAAAGCAGATTGTGATTGTGTGTGATATTCAATGAGGAGCTTAATAATAAAAAAAACATGATAAAAAAATCAAATCAAACCTGACACTAACTCAACACTAAGCACATAGCACAAATAGAATAGTTTGCACTCTCCATCACGCAGTCTTTTACTGATATTTTGTAAACTTTTCTTAGAATTCATGGTGCACTGATGTATTTAATAAATAATGTGTCTCTGGCTTCTCAACTTTGATTACAAATGAGGATCTTCCTTCCATTTCACAACGTCATGAGTTCAAAACCATTCATTTAAAAATAAAAAACAGACCCTCATTTTAAAGTCCCTTTGAGATTTTCACAGATACTTACAACAGTGCTTAATGTATAACAACCTAACACTGTGATATAACTTACGCAACTTTAACAGTTGGGTTATGAGTATCATTCACGCAATATTTATCACTCTGCCCTCCTGAGGCACAGTGACTGGTCCATACTTCCATCATGGTTTGGACCTCTATTCTTTACACCAATGCTCTTGGTACAGTCTCTGCTGCTTTCTTGGGATGCTTTCTTTTTTAAACGCAGACTCATTCTGAGCCTGGTGATCACAGTCCTTCATACTGTGACTTCTGTCTTGCTGTTGGTGACGAAGTACGGCTGTGGAGGCATGTAGCGAATGTTGTGTGGCTCAGTTTCCACGATGCAGAGTTTCTTTGGGCCGTAACCCTGTCGGTGTCCCAGAGTGTCCCTGCTGGGCCAGGGTCTCAGCACCCCGGGGCTGGCCGCAGCGCTGGAGCTGTGAGACAGTGACTGGGAGCTGTAGGTCCTGGGACTTCTGTATTTGTGCCCGTTCTGCTTATTGTGCAGCTGTCTGGGTGGGCTGTAAGGATTACTTGGCTCCGGTTCCAGATCCATGCCTTCCATTGGAAGGCTGCCTTTGGTTGTCATCTCCAAGGCGGTCAGCCGGCCGCTCTGGTAGCTGTCATTACCTTTCTCTGCTAAAATAATCCAAATAAAAATAAAAAATGACATAGATTTTCATTTACAAATAGCTATTTTCCAAGTAATTTTGTTCCTCTTGTGTGAAAACTTCAACGCAACAAAATAGAGGTCAACTCCATTTTACAAAGAGTTTCAGGAAGAGATGTGATGTTGTTTGTGTGCCTTGTTTTTGTAGGAATTTCTATTGGTCAAAACTCTTCCTCCCTGTGTTTGCTGGTTAACCAGCAAAACCACTGGCAGGAAAATGTCATGCATCACTAATGTACACCATGGTGCGCATCCCCAAAAACAAAACTGCACCCTCTAAAATAATCAAGGTAACTTTGTTGTTGGTTGGGAAAAGAACAAGAACATTTGTTTCCTACAACCACTCCATTTAGATTTAGTGCCTCTAAATAGATGCAGCAATTGTGGGAGAAATTTGAAATGTTTTAAATGTTGGACCTTCAAAGTTCCTGTCTTAGCTTTCATGTTTTTTCCTAAAGATATAAAATGTATTTTCTGCTCATCAAAAACAGACATTAACAACATTTATGTGCGAATGAGTCATATGTGTTAGAGAAAAAGCTTTGTGAGGTAATTGTTTGTATCACAGCTGTTTCAGGGAAATCAACAAAAGAAGTGAACATTTTCTCGTATGTATGTACTGAGGCCCCGCTTTCCTATCAACACACTCCTACCTATTTGTTTTTTATTGCTTTTAATTGTCTCTTATCCCAGATCTCCACTTGATAAGATTTGCTCCATTTGAATTTACGCTAATGGTTAGTTCGCTTGAGGGCCCTTCTGTGGATTGGAAGCACAGAAGTTGCGAGTGCCTGTGTGAATCATCAAGTTTGCGGGCTGTTACAGGACCTATTATTTACATTAATATAGCTGTCACCTACTCCACTGCTCTGTCAAACCCAGCTAATAGGTTCAGGTTGAATCCAGAAAAAGATATTTCTCTATGCTATTTCTCTAATAGCATCAAAATGCATCCACAAATTCTTTAACGTCTGTTCATATTAACGCTCGTATTCACTATATGAGCTATTCATTACTTTAACTTAATATCAATTCTGCATTCAATTATTTAATTCCGAGGCAGACATAGGTGGATTGTTTTTCATCTAAGAACTGACAGTGTGTAAGGTGTACACATTAGTGGAGTAAGCATTAATGTATAACTTCTTTATCACAGACTTGAAAAGGTTTTAGACAAAACGTTATTTTCATTTAAAGAAAAAAAATCTGCTGGATTTGGTTGATGTTGAGTGATAAGGGATGACAGCAAAGCTTTAAATAACTGCAGCTTCCAGAATACTTCAATAACATGCTTCCATCTCATGAGAAAAAAAAAGGTGTAGCTTGAAATGAGCCACTCGGCTTTGTTGGGATTTTTTTTTAGTTTCACCTTTTGCCTCGTAGCTCCTAAATTTATGGAACGGTAACTGTAATAGTACTTAAACAATGCAGGAATACCCTTATTATCTGCTCCCTAATCTAGACAAAATTAGATATATAATTTGAAGGATTTAACGCCGCGGCTTCAGGATAAACAGATTCTTACCCACAGCCTTCAGAGTGGTGTACTTGTTGAGATCCTTGAGGGGCGTCTGTTGCTCATACGGGCTGGTGATTTGTCCCACTGCTGGATATGGCTGACTTATCGGTGACTGAGCCACATTGTTCATCTGGTTGTTATCTGAAGGAGAAGAAAAGGCAAGTTGTCAATGCAGAAAGTAAAATCACACTCCTACAATGCACAAACATGTCAGTTCTGCTACCAATCAAAATAGAATACATTTAAGAGTTCTCTGCAATCCCTCGAATAAGACGCTGTAGGATTTTTTTCAGGTGATTTAAATTTGCTTTTCCTGTAGATGATTTCTGAGGATCAAATTCCCAGTTCACATTTTAACCCGATTGACATATGAACATATATGAATATTTGTTCTTTAATCTTGGTAGAGTCATAGTTCCCTTAAAGAAGGCTTTTGGGAACCCAGCTGGAAAATCATGACTGCTCTCTGTGGCACCGCACTAATCCTATGGTAGACATCTGGTAAATTAAGGGGTGCACGGAAAATGCACTGGCTCACTGCCTGCTGGCATGAGAGAGTGAACAGATGTTCAGTGTCTTCTCTTTGCTTCATTTAAAGAAGACTAGAGCAATATATAAAATCACAGTTGGCTGTCTGGGGACTGAGGGATGTGTGCATTGTAGAGGTGTCAGTATAGAGATGTCAACAGGGTTTTACGATCCAGTTGTGTTGGAAAGAGTTGTAACCATTCGTTATAAATCTATTTATGCTTAATTTAGCCTCACTCTGGCACTAAATCAAAAATATTTTAAGTGTAATGATGTTATGAACATTAGCTCAGTCTGTTATTTTTGTAGGGGGTGGATAATCAAAGTAGATGCCAAAATGAGTCAGTATTGATACCAGTATTGGTCACCTGATCACTAAGAATTCATCACTATTATTGTTGATGAGTTTACAAAGTTTTAAATTAGATGGTTCATGGTCTGGAATGAGTCTGATTAAAAACAGATAATTATGACAGAAAATAGGTTAATTAGGCTCTTATTCCCTGCCGGTCAGCAAGAAACTTTTCTGTGCTAATTTTATTTGGAAAGTCTCCCATTGTTGATGCTCTCTCAAGAAGTGATGAAAAAGACATTTTTATGTGATATATCACAGCTCTCAAGAAAGATGTATAATGATCATATTTAGGGAATAACTGTAAGTAGCACTGATTGTTTTTGCCTTGTAACAAGGACAGATTCCTGGAATATCTCAGCTTGGTGCAAGCTTTGATGCTTAAAAAAGATACCACAGCATCTATCACATGTTAAGATCTGTTAGAGAGTGTGCTTCCATCAGATCAGTTGTTATATAGATGACAGCTTCTGAAAGAGGAACACAAAAAGGGAAAAGAGAATCTGAAATGTAAGAAAGGGCACTTAAGTCTCTACATCACATGCTGCATTTATCCATCTATTCTTCAGGTCCATTTCCGGGCAGGGGTGAAGGCAGAGGGAGCAGAGACATGTTGACCTTTCTGAATCACCAGTTGTAGCTCTTTCCTTTTTACTGACAGACCAAGAGGTTGACCCCTCCAACACACGCCCTGGAGTCAGCTCCAGGGCGTCCACACACAATGTTTTGTATCTCCTAAAGCCTCAAAATGGGGGATTGCCCAGGGACAATCCTCACAAGGTGCTCTGGTCACTTTAACTGGCTCCTTCACAAAAGTTGCATACGAGCTGCAAAATCACTCCGAGCCACTGTCAGAATTTTAAACTCAGCCAATGGCAATTTGTAGCAGCTTAATGTCAGCAAATCTCATGTTCCCTTTTCAAGATCCCGGGGACCCGGGGATTTTTTAGCCTCCTTTAAGTCAGACACACTTGTTTTTGGAATGTGGCATCCTGATCTTCTTACTGAGGGTCTTCCCAACTGCTACTATGCATTCATATCATGTCCATTTCAGTCACCTTGAGTGTCAGTCACACTGAACAGGTCTGTTACTATGCTGAGAATACAAACCCAGCTCTTACTCTGAGTGCACGTGGACTTGAAACAGGGCAGGAGCGGCCCCAGCTCTCCATGTTTGAAGCACCAGACTTTCAGACGGTAAACACTTCACCTTCTGCAAATAACTCAAACACGCTGCACTGTTCTTGCTGAATCCGAGACTAGACTGTCATCGGTGACCTACCTTACAATATCCTGCCAGAATTATTTGCAGGGAGGTGGAGGAAAGTCACTCGGTCCTGTTCAACCCTTAACTTTACCAATACAAACTTTCAATAACTCAGTGACTTTGGTCCAAGACAGGAATTCGCATCCATCAGTTGCCTCTGCTCTATATACTAAGTGGGATGCAGGTCCCCAGGTTTCAAGAGTTTCTCAAATTGCTTGTTCCCAGCAATATTACCAGTCAAAGACAGCGTGACTTTCCAGACAGAATGCAACTTGGGGTGACATCTCTCATTTCCCTCCTGCTGAGCGCAGAATAGTATTATTAGGACACCAAGCTGCAGGGACAACCAGACAAATGACAGCGTTTGAGGCGTGGTCTTCACCACTGTAGTCCTCCAGAAGCACTCTGCATACAAGTTCTACAAAACGCAATTTATATACTTCTTCCATAGCAATTTTATTACATTCCTCTACATATATTATGTTGTGCATATTATATATGATAGAATATAGAATATGACCACCCTCTTGTCTTTATATTTATCCACATAAATCTACAACTGGATTAAAGTGTCTGAGCATTGCTTGTGGGTGTAAGGGACAGATTTTACTCCTTCCTTACACAAAAGTCACTTCAGCGTATCATAATCTGAAATAGATCTTAAATAAAGCATTGGAGCTGCTGTAGTTAGCGTCTGCAAAAGACAAACTGTTGTTTCATCGTGGCAGCCACTTAGAGACTTCCAGGATATTTATTCTAGTTACGAAACTTCCAAGCAAAAAAAAAAACTCTGAACCCCTGGCTCAAATTGGTCACAAAGGGCTATTTAAGGCCCATCAATAGACTGTCCACTCAAATTCCAAACTTCTCCCATGACAGAAATTGTGCTTCAGTAGATGAGCAGCTGTGACCTTTTTATTTAAAATCAGACATAAAAAACTGTGTTCAATTTTCAGGCTGTTTTTCTTAGCTTATTGACCTGTTTCCATTTCAATGTAAGTGGGCCATGGATACAGGCTCTCATTTCGTCTGATCTTGTTTGAGTTAACAGTGGAATATTCTTTTATAGTATACAGGGGGTTGACAAAACATGTCTTTTGATATGCCATAGCGGTTCTTTATTAACCCTGCCTTGCAATACGTCCGTGTTACATTGATAATGTAGCAATTTAAGTGCAGTTTTCTTTCAGCTAAACTCACTTTTTTCAGTGTGGATGTGGGCCATCCACTCAGAAGGTCATTTGTAACATAAACCATTTGAGCAGTCTCCCTCCAGTCAAGCTCATGACACACCCTTAAAGGTAGAAGATACAAAAAGTAAGTTATTTGAATATTTATTGTCTGTATAATGTTATGAAAAAGCTGTTTTGCATTGATTTATGTCCAAAAGTTAGCTTTCCTTCAGCACCAGTCCTTCAGACTGGAATCTGAAATTTGATTTCACATTAGAAAACCTTTCGACCAAGGACTTATCCGAATTCCAAATTCAAATGTATGTAATTGTGTTCCTTTTTAATATTAATGTGACTTAATGCCACATGAACATTGCAGCTTTTTGTCAGCTGCTGTAAGAAAGTAGGCCACTTTTGGAGACTGGTAAGGTTAAAGTCTGTGCGGTTTTTGTGGAAAATAAGAGAGTTAACACTCGATACAGACATCTCCCTGGAACTCATAAAAGATTTAAGGGAGTATTTTGGGAACTGTATACCCTGAAATAAATAGTACAAGGAGAAAGGCATTCTTTTTTTACGGACAACCTACTGTCAAGATAGTGATGAAAATATTCTTTCATGATTCTTTTCTTCATACTTGTTCTATTTTTGTCTGACCTGTGAACCTTTTCCTTCAAATATTATATTTAAATTGCAACTTACATAATCGCTCATGTGCAGCCGAGTTTACCTGTTTTTTTAATTGTTTCTCTGTATAGATCAATTATGTGGTCAAATCTATACTATGCTGTCACTATAATTACACAGCTTTATCTTAGTACTAACAGTATCTTTGTGAAATGATCAGTGGTGTTATGTTGGTCCAGATTAAAATCGTTTTGAAACAACAGGTTCAGCTCGCCTTAGCCATTTGATTGGCTCAACATACATGTCAAATTCAAGACTCTTTTTTATTTCATTTTGTGATGTAAATTAGTTTTTTTTAAAAATATTTTTGTAATCATGGTTGTCCTTCACTTTACATAGGCCCATCATTTATGCAGCAGGGCTGATAGGGTTAATCAGTTCTACATTATGTGCTGCTGTGACATTATAAACATTTAATAGAGAAACGTCCCCTTTTTGTTCGCAAGGTGAAATTTGAGTTAAGCATGTTTAAATGGGACATTCACATCATTTGCCTCCCACAATCCAATGTTTTTTGTTTTTTGTATCTCCTCACAGGAAGTGTGCCATTATCTCGTTAAAGGTTTGGGGCCCCAGCCCACTCCTTTGATGACACATGGAAGGTTGAAAGAGAGCATGGGCAGACTCTCCGTTTGCCTTCTGTTCCACAGCTGTCGTGAGAGGTAAAGCAGCGGAGATAGATTTCTCGGAAAAAATGGACTGTCATGCTACAGTGGAGTGTTGACAGTGAGCAAAGGTTTTGTTCTGTCTGGGTGAGTGTCAGTAGGGAAAGAGGCAAATACTCCATGGTTGGCCCCATGAACGCAAACGTCCAGGAAGACGTAGACAGGACAGAAGTGGCTGCCAAAGAATCCCAGGTTATACAAGATGTATTACTGGTATTCAGAGGAGAAAACCCAGTCTAACAGAGTATTGTTTCCTCTGACAGGCAGCCGAAGAGGAACAAGGGTTCCTCTGGAGCCTCCCAGTAACTCCTTTGAACCATCTGCAATTTACAGTGACTATTATAGATGGGGGCATGTCACCAGGAAGCACAGCTGCACAAGACAGATCTATATCTGAAAAAAAATATCATCTCACCTCTTATAACCCTCCAAGGATTGCTGTCAAGAAAACAGCAATCATAACAGTGCGGTTGAAACTCAAACAGAGGATCTCCTTTGTGCACTGGGCCTTTAAGTTTAAGGTCATTAAATAAAAGAAAGAAAATCATTCTGTTCTTTCTTGTAAAGTTTCAAGTGAATATCTCTTATAAAGTGTAAAAATATAGATTTTGCTGGGGTGTTTGCAAAGGCTTCTGACTGAAAGAAAGTGCTCATGAACTGACGCTGAACAGTTGAGTCAGCTTTATATCTAAATGTTCAGTCTCATTTTGATCAAATTTTATTATAGCCGTCATCTTCTTGTTTATGGACTCTTCTGTGCTGATACATCATCCACCTGAGATAAACTTTAACATAGCTGCATAATTTTACTATAGAATTTTCTTCACAGTAATTAAACTCTAGAACTTCAACAATATTACAGAAAACATTCAAACAATATAGCAATTATCAACATGTGTAAAGCTGTTTTGTCCCACATTAAACATTTCTACTTCCAACTGCTCGAATGACACTTGGTTGAGTCGATATCAGTTATAACAGGGTTAAGACAGGTTCTTCTATAGTCTTAATTAAGAAAATGCAAAAAATTCCAAGTAATAATTAACACTAACAAGACGTTGGCGTCTTATTGTGTGAATCTTTTGTGAACACATCGAAAATTCTTTTGAGTTTTTTTAAAGGTGCCAATGGAATGCATATAAAAATGTTTAACATTGGTTTGCTCCCCACAACATGATACATCATGCCAGCATGTATGTGCTGCCCGCAAATAACCAGAGGAGGAAATGGAGAAAAACAATCCCCCTTTTCTTCATTCTCCTACAACACATGAGGCTGTGGCCTATTGGCTAAGAAAGAGCATGAGGTTGTCATTGGTAATTACTGTCTGTGCTCAGTGATTATGGAGGGCATGACTAATTGCTGGATGATTTTGATTGAATGATCTTTTTCTGCATAATCACTTCCGATTCTACAGACACCTCCCATTCTACTGATAAATCAGGATGATTTAAGATATTTTTTAAACAACTGATGAATTTGTTAAATTCAGTGGCAAACACTGACCAATGTTGCTCAATTGTTGTTTAATTGTTTCATTATTGCTAGTAAAACATTGTTAAAAACATATTCAAGATATGGACTGCATGTTCCTGGTTCGAATCCTGCCTGGGTTCTGTCAGTGTGGAATTTGCAGGTTCTTCTAATTCATGATTGGGTTGCTTCAGCTTCCTCCCACCAATCAAAAAAACATTAATGTTTGTCCTGATAAAACATTTTACCATTCCCCCTGCCCTACCATCTATAGAACCTATTTACTTATTAGAATTTATATTTTGGTATAATTTTTTTCTAAATTCAAAAGTCAAGATCTCAAAAACACGCCAGTAGATTTGTTCCATGGAACTTAAATGCTACAAAAGTAAGAAAGTAATTACTTACGGAAACTGTTAAGCGTCAGTCTGGTTTGTATGTTCTCATACTGTTGGCTGAGTCCAATGTCCTCCGTTTGGTCTGATGCAGGATGGCGGATCACGTGTGCTAGAGCTCTGAAAAGATGAACATTTATTTTTGCGTATGTCAGTGCATTGTACACTTACAGAATTTGTCCAGGATTTTGATGTTCCAATGCTTTCATACCCCATGATATCATTAGTATTATTTTCTTAAGCATAGATTGTTAAAAAATGGAAACATCTGCCGGCATCTGTTTTTAGTGCGATGTTAGAGTTTTTTAATCACCACTGAGTTTCTCTTTAAATGACTCTGTGGTAGTTTCAGGCATAAATCGTCTCAACCTTGGCATGGCATTGATGAGAGTATACACACACACACACACACACACACACACACACACACAGTTGGCATAGCTCTGTTTATTGTTTAAAAAAAGAGTTAATCTCACCAGAAACCTTGTTCCAACACAGCCTGCAGGATACAGAGCACTGCCTTACCTTTATGCTTCTGTACTATCTTGTCATGATAAGCTGTAACCCTGAGAGTCCTCACATTTTAAGAATACTGAATTTGAAGATTTTTTTAAGTTGAGCCTGTGCTAGGCAACATGTGTGAATGCTGTTCGTGTTCCAAATACCACATGAGTTTAACGAACAGGAATTAATCTGCATGTGAGGGCAAAAACTCCCTACACCTTTTTAAATGAGAAATAAAGCTAAATGACTCCTATCCATGCAAATGTATGATGTGATTGAGTCTTCCTGTGGTAAAGACACACCATCCAGCAGTACACAACATGCAGGAGTGATAACGGATTTACAATAAGTGATGGACCTCAACAATCTACCACACACAGCCTCCAGAGTTCGCATTGTGTGAGGAAGCATGCATGCTAATAATTGGGAAACTACAAACTAGGACTTGCACAGCTCCATTGGCCATTTTAAATTGTGATTAATTATGTGACTTAATTATTCAATCCCAGCAAACTATTGACTGCTGATGACCATGAAATACACTGTTAGACGTCTGGAGCTGTTTCTCTGTCTCAGATATTTCTTGTTTTTTCACAAAGCAGTGGTTTCTGTTATTTTGTTTTTATGTTTCTAGTGCGTTTCAGAAAGGCCAAGTGTTGTGTTACAACAATCATTATTTACCATAACCATTTTTGGCAGTATTTTATTTTTTATTTTTTCAACTTAAGCTTGGTCCCAATTATAACATGCTCAAATATACATATTATTCTACCTTTATATGTTGTTACATTTTCTACATATTATCACTCATTTCTGGAGAAAGAAAACATGGGATTTTTCTTTCTTGGCTGCAAATATGAAAAAAATCAGTATTGATGCATCCACTTTTTACATTCCGAAACACATCATAATCCACGTCTCAGGTGAACTGAAATCCATCATTGCTGTGGAGCAGACGGTGGAACAATCTGAATTTCTTATAGGCCTATCTTTGGTTTACAAACTATGCACGAAACTTGTTGCTTTTAGCTCCATTTAACTTCTTTTCACACTGGACAGGCTGTACATTAAAATAAGTAAGTAATAAAAATTGGAACGAAACGTTATCTCTTACCTTGACATATTTTCTCTGTGGGGACGGTGCGTCTTTTCCAATCCAAGCTTTGTGAAAATCCCAATCAGAGCCATCATGGCCACGACCCCGCACACGATGTACACGATGAGGTTGGATTTATCCTTCGCAGACTCCAGCGCCACGTCCACTTTTGGGGGGGGTCTGCCGGTCATCATCCAGGGTGGGGTGTCATAGTTTTTGCAGGTGGTCTGGTCCAACCTGGAGCTCTGGAACGCGCAGCAGAACCTGAAGCCACAGGTGCCGCAGCAGTACAGGTAGCTGCCCGTCCTGCAGATGAACGGCGGGTCCCACTGGCCCATCACGTCGTAGTAGCCCCGGCACCTGTCCTCCGTGTGCGGGATTTGCGTAACGACCCTGTCCTCCTCTGCGGACTCGTTAAACCCGGTCACTATCATGAATTCGTCCAGCGCCTGAGCCGGCTCGCCCTCCGCGTCGCAGACGGCCACTTTGACCAGAATATAACCGAGCAGCAGCTCGGCGCCCCTCATCATTGTTCACTTTTTTACGCTCTTCTAGACGCTCTGAGAAGATTTCTCATAAACCAGCCGGCGTCTTTCGACGGGGTTGAGATACAGTGGTGCGTAAATGCCAGCGGGCTGATTCCAACCTCCATGCGTAAAAAGCCTTGTGCCACCTTGTATTTTTCTCTCGTAGGAGTGAAAGAAGTGAGTTGTTGAGAGGCAGCTCAAACACCCAGTGGGCTGCCAACTGATGCAAGTAGTGGAACCTCTGAGACGCCCTCACTCCGCAGAGCCCGTTACAGACAGAGACGGGCTGGGAGAAAGACAAAGACCCTCTGAGTGAGTGAATTAGAAGAGAGAGGGAGAGGACCAATGAAAGAGATGGAAAGCAATGAGCAATAGCTCTAATTGCAAGCGCTTGGAGACCATTGTTATTGTGCTGTGTTAAAATCGACAGCAAAAAAATGCAATTCAAATTTTGCCAACAATAACATGTCAGACTATAAGCTTTAGGGTCAGTAGCATTGTTCTGAGGTCACAACATGATTTATTTGAGTTTAGTTTAGCTGTTAACATGGCAGTGAGATAAAGGATGCAGCTCTTATTTCGTACATGGAAACTTATACATTTTCATCAAATTTGGTTACATTTTTCCTAAAAGCTTTATTCGATGTCCCCTTTTATTCCTGCTTTTCTCAAAGCCAATTACAATCTGTGATAAACTCCCATCACATGTGATTATTTACTGACAGAAAGAGATGTCACAGAATGGAGTTTAAATGCACTCTCTGCTTGATTGAAACATTTCTCTGACTGGTGTGACAACCCACAGGCTTCGAATCTGAAATCAAGGCTGAACATAAGGTGGCTGTTTGATTAACCATTCAATTATCTACTCAGACAAACTGTAATCATAGACAGAGCACTTGCAATGTTCATTTCATGTATTCAGACCATGTGTCGACCTCAACTATTAATTACTGATCATTTCGAAAGAGTAACAGAGGATGAAAGGGATTAGACAAGTAGAAATCTGCTAAAAAGCTTGTTGGCAAATTATTTATAGAGCAAACTTTTTATCAAAAATTATTAAATGATGTAAAAGGAGGCTTGCCATCTGCCACTTGAGAAATCTCACTTTTTCCTCATCTTTTGTTGAATTAGCTTTGCAGGGGGCTGCTTTTATTTACAAACGGCTGTCAGGGGATTTTTTGCTTGTCTCATCTTTGAGCGTCTTTAGGCTCTCTTAAAATAGTTTGGCAGGTCCCAGTGGAGGAAACTTCTAAAATAAATGAATCAGCCTTTGGAAAGACAAGATAAACCTCATAACCAGTTGCACTTAGAGATAAGGAAGCTCTTCAGAATTATTTTTAAATATGGTTTTGTTTTGTGCAGTCAGAAAAAAGAATCCTCACAGTGTCTTGAGTCGGACTTTGAAAAGAATATTATTATTATCTTCTCAATACATAAATCATTCCTGAAATGTGTATACAGAATAGTTGGTTGAGACTATATTGGTGCATCTTTTTTGTTTAAATAGTTTCATATTAAAATTCGTAATAAGTAGAAACGATAAATTATGATAATTAACGTGTTGTATTGTCAAATGACCAGTGCCTAAAACAAAAGGGCTGTTTTTGTATTTTTAAGAAGGAAAAGAGATTGATCTGCATAGGACTGCTCCACACAAATCAAATACGGCCGCGTGACAACAACACGACTCCTTCGGCTAAATCTTTGCCAAAAACTCTGACATTCTGTGTCACCTGAGGTGGGAGCAGGTGGGGAGACAGGAAGGTTGTAATTCTGCTCTGTCAGGGATGGGGTCTAATTAAGTGTTCAGACTGTGGGGAACTGCACTACAGAGTAGTTTCTGTAACAATTGAATGATGCAGCTGACACAAGCATCTGCTCTGGGCTGAGAGAAAACATAGGACATAGTTTACTTTTACAATGTGTTTGGCAGGATTTGCCTTTAAAAAGAAAGAGTAGTAAAATGTCTTTCTGTATAGGCAGAGATTTTATGAGTGTGTGTTCCGATTAAAGTAGATCTTTTATACCAGTACATTCAGCAGGTAAATCAAAGCTTCTTGAATATGATCCCGATGATGAATTAATTAGATAATTGGACATCAAGGAACCGGTGTGTGAAATAACAGCAGTACAAAGTATGTGCATTCGGGGTAGAGGAAGTGTGACCATGCGCTAAAGAGTCTGGAATCAAAACCTGCTCCTTGCATAAAAGCAGTGTTTCGTAAATCTGGTCCTCAGGGCCCAAACACCTGCATGTTTTCCATGTTGTTCTGTTCCAGCAAACCTGATTCGGATGCATTTGTCCTTATCATCCTTCAGCAGAGCTGAGGAGCTGATTCGTCCGTCTGAAACTTGAAAACATGCAGGACTGTGGGCTCTGAGAACCAGGGTTAAGAAACTCACAGTCTCCACACACAGCAGAAAGGCTTCCAGGAAAACATACTCGTGTGACGCCTACTGCTGCTGGAACTATCGTAAGAGTACTTGGGCTTGTTTCCTTATCGCAGACTGATCACTTGATTGCATTTTGCAAGTTACGTCATGTGTGAAAATGTTTCTACGAGCACAGGTGTGACAGACACCGACCCATGTGACAGAGAACAGGTCGGTAATGAAGATCAGGTTTGAAAACTGGGTCAACGATCATACTGAGGTAAGGACAAACAACGGATCTTTTCTTGCTTTTGTCTCGACATTCTTTTTGGTTATAAATATTGTCCTATGGAGCATCTTTGCATTGTCCATGAATATCTGATATTGTCCAAAAAGGGCCTTTGGCAGTAAGTCAGAGATTCCTTGACTGAAAACAGTGTAGATGCATGTGGCAGACTCTCTTTTCTTTTCTTTAACGTTATTTTTTTATTTAATTTTCTAAGCTTTCATATTGCGCAAAAGAGATAGGGCATTTTGTACCTCACAATAGCATCTAACTCTGAAATCCAGCCTATCAATACTTTCTTACAGTAAAGTGGTATAAACATAGAGGTGGCATCTTCTGGTTTGCTTTGTTCTGAAAACTCCAGCCCAGAGAGGTTTTTAGTACAATGAAGTCCTGAAATAGACATAGTTTATTGTAAATCCCACACAACGTGCGGTTTAGTAGGAAGAAAAATTAGGAAGGCTCTCTAAGAATAAATGTTATTTCCCAGGCACATCTCTGACTACCTGCCTAGATTCACATTCATGTCTGGTAGTGTCCGTTGCTCTGAAGAAAAAGGTTGTCAGACCAAAACAAAGCAGCAGGTATCGTGTTGATCTCAGTCTCATGACCTTCCCTCACAGTTGTATAAGGGTTTTTGTTCCACCGCCTTCAAAGAGAAACACTAAAACAAATGTGCATGACCTCACGATTTAACTTTCGTAACTCTGGGATCTGCTCATCCCCGGATTCTTTTGAAACCTGATGAACTAGTCTTTGTTGTTGGAGAGACAATGTGGAACCATTGTATTGTGATTCCAACCCAGAAAAAAAAGAGTCCCCGTTTAAACTCTTCTCAAGCTGTAAATGTGTATTTTCCTTTGTCCCAGTTATGAGACTAACTTTAGAAAAGAGGAAAAAAACACAATTATATCAGAATACTGAAAGGTCACCCCGAAAACCACAGTTTACAGAGCACAAGAAGCTTTTCTTAACGTGTGATAGCAGTGAAGGCTCAAGCGACACAATTTTCCGTTTCCTTACATGGAGGGCTACACTAAGACTAAAGCTGGTTAGAAATCTCCCATCAAGCTGACTCTTTTAAATAATCTGTAGACAAAGTAGGCCATTCAGTGGGGACTGTTCAGCTGAGTTCAGTCTCTTTTCAGCGCCTGACATTTTTCCCCTAGTCTTTTTATTCATTTTCCACACAATCAAGAGGCAGAGGAGTACAGAGAAAAGTTGTCATGGAAACAGAATAAAAAGCCCAAATGACCATGAGTGAGACAGACCTGATGGTGCACAATGCTGTGCAAAATATTTTATGACTTGATGCTAAAGCTTCAGGATATTACACTGAGATTTTGTTCACATGGAAAATAGGAGGGACATCATCTAAAGCCCTAAGGTCACAACTTGACTGGAAACTAGCAAGATTATCATTAAGAAAGAGGTTGTGATATTTTCTGTTTTTGCAAGCTTTGAAATTACATTTTTTCAAGCAGCATAGTCAGGGTGGGTGGTTATCTTCATCACTGCCTTCATGGAGGTCAAAGTTTTCGAAATAGTCTCTTTATTTTGCCCACAGAGTGTCTTCTGGAAACTGGTTGAAAACTTATCAAAAGAGGAAATGAATCATCTGTGAAACTGAGCTTTTAACAGATGACAGCTCACAATACTTCAGGGATTATTTGAAATTTGTCTGTTGTTTTTTTGTAAAGGTGAGAAAAACAACTGAAATCGAAAAACTGAATAAACTGATTTTGTTTTCAAATCTATTTATCTATTGTTTGTGAGACTAATTACATAATTTCCCAGCTGAGAGGATTTGAGATAAAAAATGTTCCACAACAAATATTTGATCACATACGTAGGGTTTTCTCTGGTTTGACCTATTATAAGGACTTTACCGAATTGTGGGGAATTTAAAAAATCTAAATTCTTGGAAAAACTTGATTTTTCAGACTGATGAAGCTGCATCAGCCATGGAATTTCCTATTTATTTATGCTGTCAATGCTGACATGTAACAAAAACAAACCCTGTTTATTTTCAAAAAGCAATACCTTGTCGTGCCATGCTGACATAACTCATGATTGCTTGAACACGTCACCAGTTTTTCCGGTTGATTTTGATGTGTATTAAAGTGGGGAACATTGATTCGAAACATGAATTCCAGGCTTCTGTTTGATGGTTTGCTGTTTCTGCACTGTCACACACTCCCTCCCTGCTAGAGACACCAACCACAGCTGCAGGGGCTTGACTAATGTTCAGACTTGTAGTGCTGCAAAATGAGCACGTTTCTGCTAAGTATTATGACTTAAAGAGGTGGAATGATAAGTCAACTTTTGACGAACGGAG